AACGGTGACTACGTATGTGTGTATTTTCCCCGAGTGTGTGTTTGAAGAGGGGCCTGCGCTGCAGTCAGAATAATTTAACGTCCAGATGTGCTGAAGCTTTGGGGAAATCGATACGGACGATGGCTCCCAAGCAGGTGATGAGCATACTGACATAATGCAGTAAGGATGGAGAGGGATTAATATTTAACGGTAATCTGGACCGAACAGATGGAGCGCAAGGATGAATTCATATCAAGGCCAAGTAACCACAGTACACAGTAATATAACTAGAAATAATTACAGAGAGAAATTATTCAGTACATGATGTGAATAAAATATTTATTTTGAAGCTATAAGTGACAGGGAAGAAGAGCAAAGGTATGAGGTACCAACCTTGTGTTGATGGGGACTTAAAAATGAATCACACAATTAGCATATCTTGAATCCCTCAGTACCTTCATATATAGAGTATTATGGTATTTTATGAAATAACACAAAGTGCTTTGTGTAGTTTACATCTCAATCAATTCAGTTGTTGTGAAAGGACACATATGCTGAGTCTGAAGGTTGCCAGGGAACGCCATTATTTGATATGTTCCAGGTAAATGAAAACCTGCTTTACTCCCTAAATGCAAGTGTCGCTGCTTCCCTGTACTTTACTTGCACTCCAATAAGTACTTTCTGGGTACTCCAGTACCTTGTTCCTGTTTACTGATCTGAAGCATGTCATTGAAAAGATTGGATTACACAAGGGATGAGATTACATGACTATCTGGGAACAACACTGGTTACATTACAAGGACTTAATCAGAATATTCTCCTCCAACAAAAGTACACAAAGACGCATGAATGTAAGCGTGGAAGAAGCAGATGTAAAATATTCTGTATATGTTTACTTCCACGCGCTGTACACTGTGGGGACATCCATGCTGCTCTGCTGACCTTCAGCATGAAATGAAAAGGGTCTGATGCCTCTGGTGCGTTTGGAGGGGCTTTCTCTTTCCAAAGATGGACAGCTATGCATTATTGATTACAAAACACTCCTGCAATGCTATTTCATCTTTCCAGCACAGCTGATTGTGGCTGTACTTCTTCCGCTTTAGTTTTTTTATTAGGGTGCGCACCTTTTTGATTGGCTTCTCTTCTTTTGGTGTAATCCTCCCTCTCCCTTCTCTCCTCTCCCCTCTCTCCTCTCTCCTTTCCCTAAAACACCCAGTGGGAGGCTTAACGATAGATATGCAGAAACAACCCCCTTATCTCCACATCCCACCACACGGTGCGCTGACAGAGAATCGCACAAGACAAAAGACAAAGGTAGGCAACGGCACGCCGGTGTGGAACAATGAGGTTTAAATACAACCAAATACAACCTAGTGGTTATCGCACCAACTCTGTCACACACAGAACAGCGTTGATTTAACCTTATTTTCAGCTGTGCAGTACAGTGACGGTTAAAAAACACACCCGAGGAGCGAGGTGTACTTTGAGAATATCTGCAGATCAAGCCCGGTAATGCATCTATTGTGTTACATACAGCATAGGCTGCACATATTCTGCATGTTCACACCTCAATGAACATTTTATACGCTTGCATAAACCTCTAATTCCTCCGTCTCACTGTGCTCTACTTGTGTCATTTGTATTATTCATTTGATTGCTTGTTTAAAATTTGTGGCTACAACATGAAAAAGGTTATTTTTTGGTATATTGCGCCTCAAAATTTCTCAATAAAATGTAACAATCTCTTCTTCTTCTGAACTGAAGCAGAGACGAGTGAGTGTTGGCTGAGTGTTCCTTACCTCCCCGGTGCCCTGTTGAGGATGGTCACCGGGGAGGATGCCCATGGCAACCACGGCTGTCAAATGCTGTTTCCACGATGCCGAAGAATGATTGGTTTCATGGATCCGCACAGTGCTCTGCGACAGCGCAGCGGGAGACCCTGCCTCACCTGGGAGAAGAAACACACTGGCAGGATGTGAAATGTTAGTGAACAAGGTCATTTTAAGGGTCATTGTGAGGCCTGTCACCCCGTCTCCCTCGCCATCGGGGGATTTACAGCCCGCCCTCACGCTACACACAGAGCATATCGCGTCTGAATTCATCCTTTGTTTGAGGTGGAAGTCTGACTTGGGCTTTGTCTGCCCTCTGCGTGAGGTGGTGGTGGTGAATCTGCAGGCAACAATGCCAAAAAAATCTGCAAGGACACCTTCCATGCACCGGTTGTTTCTGTTCAAACGGTGAAATCTGCTGTCATTGAATTGCAGTTACAGGCTTCTGGCTGCACAGGAGCGTTTTCCCTCCTCATATACCTCATCTGCAAAGTGCTGCAAACAAGCACCCGCATTTTCAAGTCTGACTCATGTCTAGCCGAGGCAGTGGAAAAGCGCATGCAGCCAGTATCATTGATGTCAGTGTCGTTGGTGAGGCTTGTTTACTGTGAATGACAAGGCCGGGGATGTGAACCTCAACAACTGCAGCCCCCACACTCCCACAGTTTAGCGTCCTGCAGAGGTGGGCTCCCTGACAATCCAACTCCCAGGGCCCCCGTGACAATTTTAATGATTGATCGCTCTCCTCTTGACGGCGGTGAGAGGGAGCAGAGCAGCCCGCAGAGCGTTAAAGAAAAGGAGAGGGAGGAACGAGGGGCGTGGACGATCCCACAAGGTCAGAGCGATGTCCAGTCTTTTGTTGTCGGTGGTGAGATCGGTGGCCCGTGCAGCCGCGAGGGGACACGCAGAGTAACTGGCAGGAACAGATGTTCTTACACAATGAACATGTATTTAGTTGGTTGCTTGTTCACTAAAAGTTGAGGGGCTGACTTCCCTTTTTTGATACAAAGACAAATAGGGCAGAGAGTCGGGGCTTTGCACCTGTAGGCTTTGCACCTGTAGGCCCGTGTCAGGGTTAATTGCTGTTGGGGTATTCAGGTTCCATACGGTCGGATTAAGTCCTTTTCCTATCTAAGGGTATAGTGATCAGGTTGTTTGGGTGCTTTTCAACATTTTAATAGGTAAGAGCTATTTCTTCTGGATGGTTCGCATTAGTGTCTCTGTTCAGACAAATGGGCTATTTTCTATTATAACTTATGTTTTTCATTTTATTTCCCAGAGAGGATGTTTCCTTGATGATTGCTTGAAGTATTAGCACTCCAGACACACACCACTACATATAACTGCACTGTGGCACATGCTACTTTTAGCTACGTGTAGAATTTGTCTAACCCTAATGGAGTATTTGCAGTATGTTATCTCAACAAACACTTATTTCTTGGTATTTAACAAGGACTGTATAATAATACTACACTCATTCTCATCTGCAGACACTATACACACAAACACACGTTCTTCAACTTTTTTGTCTACATCTAAACACGTATGGTACTCCACTAGTGGTATGGCAGGATTGAACCCTATGAGATGTATTAACGTTTGGTCACCAAGATTTAAAAGGTACAGCGTACCCTCCCATTCTTCTTTTGTTTTAGCACACATCCACAAACTCCCCGATGGTCTGTATTCTATATTTGGGTCAATTGAAAACATACATTCCCTTAACTTCCTTTCATTGTCAATGTATGGGGATGTTATCAATACCAACAAGAGATTGCGGACAAACCATGGATTTAAAATGGGGTGTGGCTCCAGTCATGAATGTGACTTAAACCATCTTGTGTGGGGGCGTGTGAGCTTCCTGTCTGTTTTTCTCTTGGAAGCTAAGAGCACTTTCAAGTGTGAGGTAAGATATTAAACGCATATCACTCGGTTGGAAGTCCTTAACTCATTCAGATCCACAGGACATGTGAGTGAGACACACAGTCGCTCCTGTTGCTTCGACCAGGTACACAATCATAAACAGGAGCACTAACACAGTCAGTTTATTGTCATCTTCAGGATTATTGGCCCATAAACGACCAGAGCCGTTCATAACTCATTGCCTCCCTCTGCTGGTGTGAGTGGATTGTAATGTTGTTTTACAACGTGCCTCATAATGTCTTGAAAAAATCAATTGTGCACGGCACTCAGTTGTGGCTGTAACTATGTAATTGGTGAGTTTATATTCACCTTGTCATACTGGATTTCATGGCATTTTTTTATTTGCTATTGTATCATTACTAAACAGTAATGAATTTATAGGTTGTCTACATAATGAGTCACCGTAATCTACAGTAAAATTCATATCTGGTATTTCTATCATATATGTAGAACCACTTTCTATTAATATTCCCCTTGCAATGTGTTTCTGATACTCAGGATAAGTTATTCTCTGCCTAGTAATATTAACATGTTAGTTAATATAAGTGTTATCAACAAATAAGACTCATTAAACTAAGTAAGAGTGTTTGTGTTTGTGTGCTGGAAGAGGTGGCAGAGGATGTGAAACAAGCAAGATATAAAAAGATGAATAGTAACAGTTATCCTATATAAACACTGTTGTTCAAATAACTTTCCTTATTGTATCCATGAAGTCATTTGTGACAGTTTATATACTGGTGATAAGAGTGTTACGGGGCAAAATTCAATATTATCTCTCCTTAAACATAAAATTATTGAGGAATATGGGTACTTTTTCATGTGTGGTAGACAAGGAAGCTACTGACACAATATTATCCTGTTAAAAATACATAAATTACTGAAACGATGAGTTCTAAGTGCAAAGAATATGCCAAAAAAACTGCGCAGGCCCATTCTCTACCTAGTAGGCCTACAGCTAAAACAGCATTCACTGTAAAAAAAAAAAAAAAAAAACATTTAAAACATGTATACATAGTACATCAGTAGGTTATTCCTTGTAATTAATTATTTTATATTATATATAATTATATATTTTACAACAACAAAAAGTTAATTTAGCCTACTTCAATTAAACCGCACCACTAACATAAATAATAATTCATATCAAACGCATTTGACACATTCTAAATCAGTAGTTTGAACAAAACTACTTTGTTCAAAGATGCGGGCACAATGAACCGGACGGTAGATGTCTCCCTCCTCCGCGCAGCTGTGCGTCTTCACGGGGACGATGCTGTCTACCGATGACCGAGTCGCCATTTTGAAAAGCAAACCGTTCACAGCACACCCGCCCTGAGTACTGGAACTATGCCGCGGGGCCGGCCTCGCAAACTGAGAGTTATAAGCAACGACGAAACAGGTAACAAGTACCAAAATTCCACGAATAAAAAATACAGAATGTGAGCTATCCAAATAACCTGCTATTATTAGGTCTACCATCTCTGTATCTTGTATAATAACACTTCAACGTAGTGTATATAGTCCCCGGATATAGTATTGCGGGTGGGCTTTGCTTTGTGCGGCGAAGGAGTGATTGAGGCGGAATGATATTAATAACGTTTCGGTGGCTCTTCTTATTGGCTTCCAGTCTAAATTGGTGTCCGCGAAAGAAACCACCGCGGTCTCGTTTAGCGTTACTCAACGTACGGCTTTTACTCTTAATATTCGTTTATGTTATTTGCCGTTAGCTCGACGCTGCTAACTAGCTTGCTTCGCTACCACTAGCTTCGTGGCTAACACGCCAACATGTTTTACAGTTGTTGTTTTGATTCCGCGAGGCATGTCACCGGCGAGGCGGTGCGGACGCCTGCGTTGGTCCCGTCGTGTTCGGAGCATCTTCTCGCATTCACGTAGTGACACGACACTTGACACACGTTGACATGTCCCGTCCGTGTGCTGGCATTTTGTTGTCAGCATCGGAATACAACACTTGGCGTTAGCTGTTGTGATACGCCGGTCGGGGAACGTTAACGCAAACAGCATGTTAACCAGCTGGTTCTGCTGCTCGATGTGAGCTAAGCTAACGTTAGTCACACAGGACGAATTATCATCACATTGGCGTTAGCGACGCAGCAGCGTGTTTATTTCCTTTTATGTAACGTAACATAATGAATGGCTGTGACTGACAGCCGTGATGGGCGTGACGCAACCAAGCTATTGATTGATTCAATAGTTGCTAAAAGCCCCCCCAACATGTTCACAGACAAGCACTGTACTTTTAAAAACTAACGTTAAATCCTGCAAATCCACCAGAGTGGTTGCGCTCCGAGAGAGTTAAGCCAAATACGCACAGGTTTTGTTTTAGACAGAGACAGATGGAGGATGCTTTAGAAACTGGGTTATTTTTACGAGCAGACCTCCATTATGATCACAAACATGCCTCGTTTCAAGGGGTGATCGAGTATTGTGAATGTATTTGTAGAATACAGTGGACGACTGTCTCAAATTAATACCCATAAATCACAAACACACACACACACATATATATAAATAAAATTATAAATGCTAAAAAGCTCTCTCCACAACTCAACTAGGTCAAACAGTGTTTGTATTGATTGAGTCAACAGAAAATATCAATCTTACTAAAGAAAAACTTTAAATGGTGAAATAAAAAAAAGATCCTTGGGATTATGTGACACATAGTACGTTTACTATGTGTGTGTGTTTAAGTTTCTGAGTGAGGATTTTCACATGATGGTGTCTAGAAAATACACCATCATACTTTTTTTTTTTTTTTTCTTAGAGCTACTGAACATATTATTATTTCAAAATGCACATGGTCATGTTCTTCATTTACCTCTTTCATCAATTATTCTCTGAGAAAGCCTCTTGCACCAAAAGTCATCTCTCCTGTACTCAGATGCAGATCCCAGTGAGACCAAGGTGGGAAGTTTCAGTGATGGGGAATGCAAGGACAAAAAGTGCTCAATATGCGGCCAGATCTTTACCACTGAGAGCCAGCTGCAGAGGCATCTCCGTGAACACGAGATCAACGATAAGGTAAGCTTAGCCCGCACACACGTCGGCCATCGCAGGCATAACAGGGGTGGTGTGGTGGGTGATTTTGCTCAGACAATCGGTAAATAAGAATAAAGGCTCTTAATCAAATATGCCTTTATTTATCCAATGGATGCCTTCTTTTTATCATCAACGTGTGTATTTGTATTGTTCTTACGATTCCACACATTCTGATCTTGAATCCGGCCAGTGTTAGCGCATTATTATTATTTTTGAGATTAAAAGGCCTCTGAAAACATAGTCCGTAGGGTCGCCCTTTTCAATTCTAAGCCAGCCCCCACCCCTAGGATACACAGGAATGGTTGTTGCTGTGCAGCTTGGGTGGAGGTATAGGCTGAGAGCACTGTGCTTTAATGCGCTCAGCGACAGGCCGCGACAGGCGTCTTTGAGATAGTTCACCTACAAGTACAACAAAAAACTCAACTCTCCTCCTGACTTTTTTGCAAGATAACTATAGGTATGTGTTGAATTCGGGCTTACTGGCAAAGCTGGAGGTGTCCTGGATTTTTCAGCACAGAGGATTTTTTTATAACGTGCAATTTCAAAGCTGTCATTTTTTTATTTGACAGATTTAGCCAACAAAGTCTGCCAATCACAATATTTGCAGCCAGGATCCTCCAAACTTCTGCACTGTGGTATATATCCTAGTAACGGAAGGGTTTTTCTTCAAATAGACGCATCTGGGGTTATTTACTTCTACTTAAGAAACACCACATTAAAGCAACATCCTTCTCTGTCTGTCATGTTTTCAGATAGCGGTGAGATAAGTACTGGTAAACAAGCACGTCCTCCGTCGCGGTGAATAAATAAACTGCCGTTGGATGAGACTTGATGCTGGACTTTTTAAGATGTCTTGTGCCCAGCACAACATGCATCATCTGCTGCTGAACTTGGCACAGTGGAAACTGTGGTCCAAATGCAATGCATGTTGGACCACAGTCTTGGCTCCCAGATGTGGGCGATATTTACCGCCTGCATCAGGACATTAAGGGAATTTGATGTGAGCCATTCCAGGGAAAAGTGAATAGAGTTGCATTGTTACTCTTTTATAGCTGAACTCTAACTGATATTTCATCATGAAGGAGGACCCCAGTTGCTGCGGTCGTCTTCCTTTTATGTTTTTAAAAGTACACATAGAGAATACATGTGCAGTAACACATTGTCATGATGCACATTTTTTGTAGTCAATGATTCGTCATTGGATATTTGTCTAGTAGTCGCCTCTTCGCGTCTCTTTTGCTCTATTCTGGCCTTGTACCCGTTTCTTACAATCCGTCCTCAGACGCTTTCTGTCCGCCCCGCCGTCACTGCCAGTACTCCCTCTCTCAAGCGCACTACTCACACGGGTTGAGGGGCCAGGTCCTTGACTTCATGCGATTAACAACAACGTAAAAGCAACAGAAGCTGCCGTCATTTTCTGTCTCCTCTTGCCAGTCTCTTTTCGCATGATAACACCATAATCAAACCCGATTTCATTTCCTTCGGAGGAGCCTTTGCATCTGAGGACCATTTAAGTCGTTAGGGCCGCTGTGTTCACTCCCACGGACGCACTCTCCAATCAGCCTTAGTGTCCCTCACTCTTAAGTGAGACCCTACTGACGTCAGGGCTGCTCTCGGCCTTCACCGCAGTCACAGAGTACTCTGAAATTAACTCAGTCAGCTCCTCTAATATAAAACAAAATTCAATATTCAATATTTCTCGCTTGCAGTTTCTTTTACTTAACCAAAAAGATCAGTCACTAATAAGACGTTGTTCATGATTATGCACTAATGTTTTAAAACACCTGTTTTGTTGCAGATGGCCGCCATTGATTCTAGTAGATACTTAGGTTGGACCGGGGGGAAAAAAAACATCCACAGCCAATACAGTTCCTTCATTCAGTTAAGGGAGCATATTGATTCACCCGTGGGGAGAATAAACAACAAGGACATGATTTGATTTGAGTTTGACATCTTCTGCACTTCGACACCATTAACTACTTTTCTCCATTCTCTCCTCGCTCCCTTGCAGCCCCATCGATGTGACCACTGCCCGCAGACATTTAACGTGGAGTTCAACCTCACACTCCACAAGTCCACGCACACCACCGCTGACTTAACCTGCCCCGTTTGCAATAACAGGTTCTCCCGCATCGCCAGCCTCAAATCCCACGTCATGCTGCACGAGAAGGAGGAGGTTAGTCAGATGGGCGGCCCAACATCGTCGATTCACAGTTCCTAATGCTTAGGGAGAAACGGATCTCTTTGTGTTGTCCCCTGTCCGTCCTCTGTCCCCCACCCATCCGCCCTGCAGAATTTGATCTGCGTGGAGTGCGGGGATGAGTTCATTCTCCAGAGCCAGCTGTCGCTGCACTTGGAGGAGCACAGGAAGGAGTTGTCGGGCGTCAAGGTCTACACTTGCAAGACCTGCGACAAGGAGTTCAAGACGTCTGCACACCTCAAGGAGCACATGAAGAGTCATGTCAAGATGAGGTCAGGACGGGCTACAGATGCCGATTCATTTCATCTCACTGCAACAGGCGGTAAAATGCTCTGAAGCTGAATGTGGGACATGAATCCAGGTATCAAATGTAAGCGCGGTTTACAGTGATATGCGGGATATAGCGATGCACAGAACGTGTTTTACCTCTCGTTATTTTTAAATTTGTATGACACATTAACTACACAAAGGCTAGCTATGAGTCATGGAGACAGAGTAGTAACTGCAATAGCACTAACCGTCAAGAGACACAACACCTAAAAGAAGTAGCAGCTCTGTATGGCACAGAAAAGACACTGAAGATTTTAGATGACAAAATACAAAAATGAATCTCAATTCATTCACTGTGGTTTGGAAGGAAATTGGATGGTCTGCATGGCGACATGCACAGTATAGCATGGCCTTCAGCGGAACGTTCTGTTCCTTCTCATAGATCCTCGTAACCTCGTTGATTGAATGCTCATAATGTGCAGTTCTACTGTCCATATGAGGACACCGGTCCCCAGTGCTGTGTGCTAACCCTCTACAGGCTATTCCTGGTTGAAACCAAGGTTCAAAAGAGCCTGCAACAGTACGGATAAAAGGTTGAACGGATACTGCTCGTACATTAAGTGCTGTAGTGCTTTTAAAAAAAAACCTATTGGACAATTTATTTTCATATATGGATTTTGTTAAAATATCAGCGTTATTCATTGGATCTCCCTTTTTCTGTGTTTACGTCTTGTGCAGGCCACTCAGCTCTAGTTCCCGAAACTACAAGAAAAACATTGACCGCAGCGGGTTCCAAAACGGTTGCCACCACTGTGGAAAGGCTTTCAAAAAGCCCAGCCAGCTTGTGCGGCACATACGAATACACACAGGTGAGTGGGAAGCACAGAAAAGGCGTTGCCGACATTAGGTCGGATGTCCATTCAATAATCCACGTGCAGGAGACATACTCAACAACAACAACAACAATAATACTGTGTGGATTGTGTTGTCCTGAATGCTCCACAAACCCCCAAGTGGATGTTTTTGTTAGGTGTGGGTGGCCACTGGCCCCCGTTGTCAATGGCGGGGGCTCAGTAGCCTGCAGTTCTAATGCCGTAGGTGGGTGAGTGCAGCGGGAGACCATGCACGTGTGTGTGTGAGCAGTGGGCCAGTGCTGCGTCTTTGTTGTGTTTCTTTTCTAAACGCTCCATGATTCAATTGTAGGCCGTATTGTATCACCGACGGGTCACATTTGTCTCTCTGAACTTGTCCTCCGTTTCGGACCCGTACCCCTCGGTGCAGCTCCTCTCTTCGCTGTCGTATAAAGATGTGTGGTGGGGGAGGGGTTGTGAATGTATTACGTGTCGCTGTGTGCAACCCTGTGTGGGTTCAGGCAGCGCGATCAGTAGCTTCCACTCACGTGTTCAACGTCAACCACATTCATGTTTGGTGCGTTGAATGAGTAATGGGGGATGGAGCATATTCCTCCATGCCTCAAATCTCTGAGGTTAAGACTCACACAGGAGACTTCGCACACACACACACACACACACACACACACACACACACACACACACACTCATCATTGAGTTGTCTCTATTTAGGCTAATCGTAGAGATGATGAAAATCATTTTCTAGTTGTATTTATATGGCAGGTTGTGCTATATCAGAAAAACAACTTTCATTATGGATAGTCAAAATGTATAACCTGTTTTTTGTGAATTTCCTTTTGTTGAAATGTATTTAATTGCTATAAATACCAGTTCTGTAAATGCCCTTCCATCCTCATTAGTGGCTAACAAGGCGGCTCCCTCGTTAGCCACTTCCATCATCCCTGCGTCATCAATGACGTCCACGAGTGAGGCGCCTCGTTTCGTTCTCAAATCTACTGACATTTGTGCTGATTGAGAATTTCCAATTACTGGTCCAAATATCAAATGATGGAACGAGCCTTAAAAGCTGCTTTTAAGCAATGAACGTATGTGACTTTAACAACAGATTGTAGTCAGCGGGGATCTTAATGAAGGTCTTAACGAAGCCTCACGTTCGCTGTTTGCCTTTTTTCATTTTGAAGTTGTAGATTTAGATTCCATAAGAAGTTTGTGGCTACTTCAGTTGTAATTTCACCTGACCTCCCCCTTCCCCGCAGGCGAGAGGCCCTACAAGTGCTCACATTGTGGAAAGGCTTTCAACCAGAAGGTGGTGCTGCAGACTCACATGGTGAGGCACACCGGAGAGAAACCCTACCTCTGTATGTTCTGCCCGGCTTCCTTCTCGCAGAAAGGGAACCTGCACTCGCACGTTCAGAGAGTTCACGCCGAGGTAAGAGCACAGCACTATAGATGTGAGAGTGAAATACGCACAGCTCAAGCACTGAATAGCAATAATCTCCCTATGACGTCATTTTAGAATAAATGGTTCTCACATAATTGTTTTTCAACTCAGTCCGACATGGAAAGGCTACTTGAATCCCTCCCTAAAGCCTCTATTTTAAACCACTGAAGTCTTCCATTCATATGTTGGGTATTGAATCAGGTCGAAAAATAGAGATATTACATGAACTTCTCCTTTTAATACTGCTATATGGTTGCAAAAGCCCTCTCAAGACACCATAAAACGAAATTGTGTTAACCCGATTTATTTATTTCGGGGAATCTGTATTATTTCTGTGATTCTGGTTGCTGTCCAAGATATTCCTTTTGTAGACTTCCTTCACTCGCAATTGCCTGCCTGAGTGCTCACAGATTGTTTCCTTCAATTCCTCTTCTTCATTTGGTACTTGACAGCGGCCAACCTTTAAGGGCCCTCCTGACTCATCTGTCCTAATTCATTTTGGACTTCTCGTTCTCCCACGATGCACAGCCAACTAAGGTCACGTCCTTTTAGTGGATGAGGGGTTGAAAGAATTGTTACACATCAAAGTCCTCCGTAGGTCCCCATATGTCCATTTTGAAGGATAATGCACTATCCTGAGTGTAGACGTGCTTTTGCCTGGGTTTCTTAACAAAGAACATCATTGGGTAGGGGGGCGGCAGTGGGTGAAGCTCACAGTTGAAGACTGCTTCCAATGATGGTGCTGCAAGTCGAGATTGGTTGGGCTTTTTAGCAGCCTGATTGTAAAGCAACACAATGATCTCCATCACAGGAGGTGCAGTGGGGCCCCCCATCGCTGCCACAGTGCTCCATACTAGTTCATTTACTCAGCAGAAAGGAGAGAAAGCCGTAAAGTAGGAGAGATGCTGCGTGCTTCCACACTGAGCTCCACTGTCATTTGGCTGACTACTGCTTTTCTGTTATATTACTATTGTTACGTGATAAATTTGTTCACTTAAATAATAATAATTGGTGAGTAAATACCTGTTAAGCTAAGGTTACTCACACCATTGTGTCCAGCACTCACTGAAGCTACATATAAGGATGTTATAATTACAGTGTTCAGGCAAAAAAAAAAAATACCACATCAATTTAGAGGCCACTTGGTCATCCTTTTTGTCAGAGAAGGTTCACGTGACCTCAGGAGGAATTCCTGGAATTTTGTTCTAGTTATTTTACCTAATAACTATATTCTCACCGAACCTTTTTTTTGAATAAAAAATATTTCATTTTGAAAAATGACCGTATTCTTCTCCCAATTACATGCACTTTTCCCTCTTCACACATTTCCCAAGTATTTTTTGCCGTGCGCAGCGACTACTCAAGAGGACTTCTGATTCTAAAGTTAACCTGATAGAGATTCCATTTTTAGATGAATGGTCTTTCAAGCAACCTTTAATCATAGACCATAAAGATGGTGTCCTTCATGGGTTTTGATATGTTAATAGGCAATTACTTGATAGTCATCTGAAACATATTTGATGGAAAAAATAAAATAAAATTGGTGTTACCCTGCAAGCTTTTTAAAAGTATTTCTTTGAGACTTCAGTCTAAATAAAAAGCGTCAAACTAAATTCACTATGATGAGCTTTCAGGTTGAGTTTATGCTTATGAGTACGTATTGGATGGCTGATTTTGCCCCGTCCATTGTTTTACAGGCCAGCTCACATGATTTATTTGTTTCATTTAAACAAATGGCCTCTCTTGACCGTTCTTTCCCTTTTTGACTAAATAGATTACAACTCATTGAAGTCAGAATTTTCTTTTTTCTTTCTCGTTTGCAAACACGATTGTGTATTCCAGGCTAAAAGCCCACAATGGTGCCTGTTGATTGAATTACCTCTGGAAAACCAAACAACAGGACCATTTAATAATGCATCTAATTTTCATGAGTGTCCTTCGGCTTTTTGTTTTGCAGGTAGAGTTTGTCCATATAATTGACTGACTTCATGAATAAATCATGGTCAGGCATTTTTCATAATAGATTTCATGTGCAAATGCATACTCAGGAGCTGAAAACCTCATAGTTTAAGTGTTTTGTTCTTGTAGGGTGGTGTAGGCATGTTCAGGCAACAACACTGCACATAAAGTATACATAACCCCGCTGCAGAATATATAATCAACAGATTACTTCAGCTTTCAAGTATTATACTTCAACAGCTACTGCACCTGCTTTGAAGTGCTTGAGCTTCCACTACGTCTCTTCTATATCGAACCAGTTACAATCAGACATTACTTACGGTTTTTGCAGAAAGTATTAGTTTAGCTATTTACGTTAACCTCAACTTGCTCAGTACTGTGATAGCTGGAGATTGAGATATTGTCTTGTATGTGTTTTCTGACAGACTAAAAGCGGACCACTGTTTCCATGCATGGACTGCAGCTGTGTATTCAAGAAGTTGGGCAGCCTTAATGCCCACATCAGCAAGATGCACATCTCTGTAATTGAGGTGCCCTCAAGCACTACGGTAAGCAACCAAAAGGCTGTATGCGCAAAAAAGGTTGTTTCACTCTATCAGCCCATTATTCACTGAGTATATAGAACAGCCAATCATTTTTGGACTCGGGAAATAAGGCCAATAAGCATATTACACAGGGACATACAATGAGTACAGCAGGTATACTCAAAAGCAGATTAACAGAAGGTATCTGGTATAATAAAGCTTGCTTTATTTAGGGATTTGAACCAATTCAAATTACTTGTATGTTTTATAAAGTATTGCCTCTTGTCATTATCTTAATTTTTTTTCTTTCTATGTATGTGTGATATTGTATGTGTGTGTGTGTGTGTGTGTGTGTGTGTGTGTGTGTGTGTGTGTGTGTGTGTGTGTGTTGGTCTATATATATATATACCGGTATATGTAGACCAACAAAGACACCAACTAACATTTGATTCATTCATTTTATGTCCTAGAGAGAGCCTCTACAACAGATTAGCCAGCTTTCAAATTGTCGGCCGTCTTCACCTTGTGAGTGGCCCTTTGTCAAAGTGGTCTTTATCTTTATTCTGCGGTCCTTCTTGCTTCGTTCCCCCTCTTCCTCTCCCTTAGGAGACAGGGGTGACGGGTCAGGCTCCCGGGGGACTAGAGGGCAGCGACGGGGTGACCGACGTCATCCAGCAACTTCTAGAGCTGTCTGAGCAGGTCAGCGGGGAGGCCGACCAGCCCCAACCTCCGGAGCCAGCTATCGCCATGGAAACTGCCATCAACCAGGACATCCTGCAGGTGAGCAGACGACATTCACCCACACTCAATAAATGGTATGACAAGGAAGAGGCCTTGGGAGTATTCAGAGCTCCATAGACCGACTGGAAACCACACGGCTGTCGTCTAATCTACAATACGATTTGAAATATCGATCTGAAACTGAAACACTTAAACCAGTGCACCACTTCAGCCACAATCCATCAATTTGACAGGCCCTCTCACATAAAGGCACAGGTCAGGTCAACGCCATAAACACAAACATCAGCTCATCTGAACATCTGTCACTTTTACCTATAAAAGTTAGAGCAACCATTCATGTAGAAATCATTTGGCAAAGGATTGGGGGACCCACTGTGGGAATATGTTCGAGGAAATAAAAAGATCTCATTAAAAGCCTCTGAAATCCTTTTGGTTGCAACTTAATAATATTGTCAGTTTCCCTCCTTTGTCAACTGGATGGAAGCTAGAAGAAACATTGTCCATCCAGGGGAAAGAAGACAGCAGAATAATAGATTTCTTTTGCTAAGAAGCACAACACAGAAAGATGTGATTATCACTGAGCTTTCCTTCTGGCCATTATATTCTTTTGGCCAATGTTTTGTTCATATTTTTTACCTTATTTCAAGCCATACCTCAAATTGTTGAATCTATAATACTAATAATAGTTCTTAACACAATTAGGTTTAGTATTATTTACATTTTTAAATTGGAAACATATTTTCCATTTTCATAACTTTTCTTGTGTATAATATGCTGCAACAAATAATCAGCAATCAATAAAAAATGAAGTACGTTTCCAATGATTTTGATCAAGGATTTCTGATCAAGGCGCAGATGGTTGCTCCATGCGAGGCAATGAACAGTGTTTGCATGTATTGATTCATTGATTTTATCGACCCCGAGAGCCAGAGAGAGAGAGAGCAGCGACAGCCCCCGAGTGAATAAGAAAGGGGAAGTCAACAAGAACAAGGAAGTTATAACAATCTTCTCATCATTTCATGGCAGTTATGTTCCAAAGTGCTAAAAAAGATCCACATCTCCCCAGAGCCCTGTGGGGGACGGGCCACTTTGATGGGTTTTGAATGAACTCAGCCAAAGTGCTTTCTTTATTCTGTCGCTTCTGCTTGTTTTCTTTGTGTGCCTCAGTAAAAAGACACAGAGCCACTCAGGCAGGCAGGCGGCACGGGAGAGGTAGAGAGGGCAGAGCAAATGCACCCGCTTCTAATCTGACTGGACTTAAAAGGATGCGTGTGTTTCGGTATCGGGCGCAGAGTGGCGTTACAACGCGGCGGTATCAGACCGCCTGGACGGGCTGCACACCCTGCTGGTTTGCTGGAGGTTGCACCTCCAGGCGTGGACATGGACACATCTAGATGTCTCTGTAGAGACCCACATAACCACATGCTGAGGGGGATTATTGTCTCTCTCATATTATATTACATGAATTCATTCATTCATTCCTGCATATTATACCCTCTAAGTGTGATATCAACAGCTGTCTATGCATATTCATCGAAGGAGCCAAAAAATGCACTTGATATGCACAAAACACAAGGTGTCTCCGTCTATGAGTTACTGTGAATTCATACATTTAATGAAATGACAGCGTGTCTGTTGCCAACAGGCATGCGAGTGACAACCCTCAAAAATATCACAGAAAGCTGCATTTTCTCACTTACAGGACTATTTTTTTACCAATTGGTCATGTTGATGCCTGAAACAAATTCTAAAATGTAAAAGCTGATGAATAGGCGCCATTGATTTCAATTGTGTGATTCTCAATCCGAATAGTTGATTCAATCGGCGGTGGATTGAATGTCGGCGTATCGAGTTAGTAATTAGCTGCAGCTTGAATGCATGAAGACGTTTTTCAAGCCGTGGTATTAGAGCAGATCTTTTGTTCTGTACCTTTTAGCAAGCTCTGGAGAATAGTGGGCTGAGTGTGGTCCAGCCGCAGAGCGACGCCGCATCCGCAGAGTCTCAGAACCAGACCTCCGACGGCGCTGGAGGAGAGCCCAAGAAAGTACAAGTCCTCCACAAACCGGCCCGGGAAAGGAAAAGGAGCATTTTCAAGAAGCCCATTCAAATGCCAGGTAGAAGAGAATATTACACAACGTTCACACAGGCATTGCATCGTAGTTACAATAATCACCCAATAAGACTGTGAGTCCTTCCAAATTCGAGTTGAAGCTCAGCAGGTTTGGTATTATTCTCTTATCTGGAGACTTTTAAAGCGACACATTTAAAATATCCGCCGTTCTTATCTGCATTCATATATACTGTGATTCATGTATACCGGGTGTTGTTTAATGTAAATAACCAAATATGTCACTTCATTGATACGGCTTGACAAAGACGATGCATGAATTGAAGGAGCAGCGAGCTGCCGGCCGACAGAAACCCCGCACGGCTGCTTCACCCTGTCTTCCTTTCGCCAGGCTCCATCAGGGAGGAGAACGGCGTCCGCTGGCACGGCTGCCCGTACTGCTCCAAGGAGTTCAAGAAGCCCAGCGACCTTGTTCGCCATATCCGCATCCACACTCACGAGAAGCCTTTCAAGTGCAAACAGTGCTTCAGAGCGTTTGCTGTCAAGAGCACCCTCACAGCACATATGAAAACGCACACGGGTATCAAGGCCTTCGAGTGTCAGCGCTGCCTCAAGTGCTTCTCCACTTCTGGCAGCATGAAGGTACACATGCGTCTGCATACAGGTGAGGAGCAGGTCCCCTTCCCCAGAATACACCATTTTCAATGCACCTTTTTCCCACTTTACTGGCTCATTCCTTCTGTGTGACAATGTAAGCAGTATTCAACCCAAAGCAAAAGGGGACATGCGTGAATGTTTTGGGTTTCCTGGCAGCCAGTGTTTGTGGCACTGCAGCCAGAGCCCTCACTTGTACTTGTGTTTGCAATCATCCTTTGAGAGAGAGAACCTCAAAACAATCTTCCGCTTGACATGAAACGTCAGCATTAGTGTGAATAAAAATAATAATAATAACGGCTTACTTATTATTTGCCTTTGTGCATTAGTTTTTGTTAATCATGTGATGGCACTGTCAAGGTTAATTGTGCAGTTTTTCTCTGGTTGTGTGTCTGAGCTAAGGGTTTTGGTAGATGTGCTTTATTTGTAGAATGCACTTTGACATCCGTGTCACTTTTCTGTGTCTTGATATTTGGTTTCTGAGGAAAAAGTATCCTGCTAAAAGTAGACAAATTAAAAAAATTAAATGACACAAGCTTGGTTACAATTTTGGTTTATGTGTGAGTTTCATATTCGTTTAGATTGGCTTATTGATTAGTGAATTCGGATTTATTTGTTACTTGGAGCTTATATTTGAAATCTTTTGCTTATCGTATCAAAGTACGTAAGTCCGAATCGGTCTAATTCTCTAAAAGATCAACTGATTTTCTAAAAGTGCTATTTTTTTTCCCCCACTTTCCCCAGGTGTGCGTCCTTTCCCCTGCCCTCACTGTGACAAGATCTTCCGTACATCAGGTCATAGGAAAACCCACATTGCGTCTCACTTCAAAAGCTTGCAGCAGAAGAAGCACAAGTTTCCCCGCAGAAGCAACAAAGCCAAAGTGTCCAAAAGTAACCTACCTCTGCCCGATATCCCCCTGCAGGAACCCATCCTCATCACTGACTTTGGTAAGAGCACTTGTTGACAGCCACGTGTGCTTTAGTTTTCTCCTCTTCACGTATCCCGTGTGGCACAAAATGAGTCTTTTGTCAAGCAACACATGTGCTGCTTAACAGGCCTCATCCCATCCCAAAACCACCGCCTGGCTTTCCAACAATACCTAGAGGTGGTGGGCAGCGACCGTCCGTACAAGTGCCAGTTCTGCAGTAAGGCCTACAAGAAGTCCAGCCACCTGAAACAGCATGTCAGGTAAAGCGTCCCCCTAACGTTGCATGTCCAGTGGTGTTGCATGTTCTGTTGGATGATGGGTGGCTTCTTGGGAGCATTAATACAGGGGACAAAATGGCCCTTGTGTTTTTGTGGGTTTATCTCTAGTTCCCAGAGGCAGAACCCTACTTTTTTATGATGATGCCTTTTCACCACTTGCAGCCCAAAATGTCTACTTAAAATAGTGTGTTTAAGACAAGGCAAGTTTACCATAAGAGTGTCTCTTTCTGTGTCGAATGGATTCACCTGTACCAGTGTGACATTGGTCAATTATACAATTTTTATTGTTAATAAATTACCCAAAGGAGGCGGGATGATATCGATATGAGACACAAGTGAGTGAGGAGAAAGAGAGGTTGCCATAGTGACCTGCTCGGACCTGCTTCCCACAGCTATGCGGCTCCGCTCCACAGACTCTCATGAAATAGTTGCAGATTTTATTCATTTCGAGGCTCTTCTGAATGGGTACACTAAATGTAAACCTTTTGATGATCTTGCTATTTATTGATTATTGATTGTGAAAAAGGGGTCAGCTCAAGGTCCTTTAGAGACATCTACCATTACATCACTGTCCCCTTGCAATACCGGGTAAAAATTAACAGTACAATGTACGGTGGCCCTGAAGTGCAAAACACAACGGCAAATAGGAAAGCACAACAACAGATAGGGAAACACAACGACAAATAGGAAAAACAATGTTGTTGTGCTCTCTTATTTGCCGTTGTGTTTTCCTATTTGGAATTTGTTCGGGCTAAGCAGTAAACTATTATGATGATAGCTGTATAAATTATGTCCACCTTAAAACAAAATTCTAAAAAGCTGCAGTTTTGAGCCTAACTAGCTTTAGTGTTTCTTCCTTTTGTCACCCCAGGTCTCATACAGGAGAGAGACCCTACACATGTGTGCAGTGCAGTCGAGGTTTTGCCTCCTCTGGAGTCCTAAAGGCTCACGTCAGGACCCACTCGGGCCTAAAGGCCTACAAGTGCTTGATGTGCGACACCACGTTCACCACGAGCGGCAGCTTGCGACGCCACATGACCACCCACAGTGACCAACGACCTTACATGTGCCCCTATTGCCAGAAGACCTTCAAGTCGTCACCTAACTGCAGGAAGCACATGAAGACGCACAGGTTTGGGCTTTGCTGTGTATTTGTAAGCCGTTGAGTTCTTTGAATGCTTGTCCCGCATCGGATATGCAGTGACAAGGAAGGCCAAAACAAACCAGTAAAAAAGTAATCGAAAACTAACACATAAACTCTGCGGTTCTGCTTTTCTTGTTTGGCCAAACCAGGTATGAACTGTCCCAACAGCTTCAGCCCCAGTCAGCCGATGACCCCTTAGGAGGGGGCACGGTGGACCATGATATGCAGGTAGCAATAGAGGGAGATTCCCTCCAGCAACCATCAGCTACCTCAGCAGAGCAGCAAAGTATGCTGGGACTGGGCCAGACAGAGGATGTGAATGGAAGTCAACAAGTGACACTAGAGGCCCCCCTGACTGACCAACAGCTTGGGCAAGGAGAAGGTAAGCAGCGGTGAATTAATAATTAATAAAGGCTCAGCTCCATGAAGATCAGATCGACCCTGATCTAAATGTTTTTCATCATGAACCTTTTTTTGCTTGTTTAGAATTGGCTTTTCTTAAACTATCCCAGTTGTAAAATGCATGTCTTGTGTCAGATTCAGTGCTCTTGACCTCCGATATCTTTTTTCATGATTTTAATATTGAATTGAATCCAAACGGAGGTCAAAGGTCGATAGAGTATCTTTCTATTGTTCTCAAAAGCTGCATCTGCTGTTATTAGACCAAACCTTCGCCAGAATAATACAATCATTAGTATTTGCTTATGTTTATTTGTTATGTTTAACCTGAACCAGATGCACTGTTTTTAACCCGAGCTTCGGTGTGGAACAGTTCAGATTTCCACCCTGACCAACTTTGTCAGTGTCAGACTAACCTTTTTTTCTTGCCGTGCGTCTTTCTTTGTGTTGACAGACTCGTATGTGACGACCCAGCATTCTTTGCCTCAGAATATCACTCAGTTTGATTCCGCTACACTTCCCCAGCCTTCCTTTGACCAGCAAGCTCTAACTCAAAGTACACACACACACACACACACACACACACACACAATTGCTGTCTAACCTATTGCACTCATGCAGCCTGTCCCGTTCTGTCCTCCCACCAAATAGCACATTGGTTGATACAGCGTGCAAAGGCTGGCCTCTAGAAGTCACCATGGTGATGGAATCTTTCACTCCAGACGAATCATTAAAAAGAAATCAAACATTAATGATGGAATTCATTTTTCTTCCGACAGCTCCACTCAAAGGACACAGCAGCTGTTGCTTGTGGGTAGAGGCCTGATTTAACACAATTCAAACAGATAATTTGTTTAGAGATTCACAGATGGTACATGTATCATCTCAATAGTTCCTTCCCTCTTCATTGCATTACTGTTAATCCGGTGGAGTGCACTCAAACACATGGCTGCAAACTTCTCCAAGTTAGCCACTAGGCTCTGACAACATTACCCCGCAAGTTGGCAAAAGTGACTGCTGTCAACAGCCGGGGTCCAGTGGAGCAGCTTGCGCTAGAGCGATAGTACACTCAGATCAAACATCTGTCGGGCACATTCCTGTTCTCGTCCCCTTGAGAGTCTCTGCAATCTTTTTACACTTGACATTTCATCATTTTAAATCTTTGAGGACCTGTGAGTGTGCTTACATTTTCAAGGGCACAAAGCATATGGGTTGATTTGATGATGACTTTTGTTCTGAAACAAGTTGTGTGACATTTTGAAATCCTACTTTTTAATGGTCAAATACAGATTTACTGTTGTAGTCAAACGTTTACATACGCTTGTAAAGGAAGTCAGATTTTTCTCTAATTGGAAGAGATACTTCTTTGTCACAAAAAACATTCATGAAGTTCGGTTCTTTTATGACTTTATTATGGGTTCACAGAAAAAGTGATCAAAGCAGTGACAAAACAGTGCCATGTACTTTACACTTACAAACAATTGATTGCACTGTTGCTCTTTAGGGCTGTCAAAATTGTTCGAATATTCGCTTTAAAAAAACAGATATTTGAATATATTCGAATATCTGGTTGCGCATTACACACGTCAATAACAGGACAAATTAATACAACGAGACATAACTACTTGTATAGCTAATTAATTTAAGTTTAAACCGATTTAACAACATATTACCTACACAAAAAAAAGTAAATTAACTAACGACCAAGACCCCGCCCCCCCCCCCCCCCCCTCTCTCTCTCTTTTTGCGCACAGGGGTTTAAATGAACGACAACCATAAACGCCATAACCATAAATGCTGATCAAGAGTTTTGTGCAAGCAATTTAAGGTCGCGATTCTTGTCCCAAATACATCAGGCTTCATTCAGTGATTGAAACTGAAAGTTTTACAATACCGACATTGAACGCTCCGAGCGAGCGGTGCTGTAAACACAGAACTTTTTCCTTGGCAAATAATCAAATATATATTCAAATATAGAATATTTGTTGACTCTTGGGACCTGCAGCTGCTTTGAAATGGCTGCGAGTGACTTTCCTGACTTGTTCAAGTCAATGATTTGCTTTTTCAGATCCATGCTGAGCTCCTTTGCCTTTCCCATTATAGCGTTTGTGTCCAATGAGCCCTATTTAAATGGCCTCAGAGTCACCAGCTGTAGTCACTCACAAGAAGTTAAGTAGTCATAAAAGAACCAAACTTCATGAATGTTTTTTGTGACAAAGAAGTATCTGTTCCAATCACTCTATCAGAGAAATATCAGAGTTGTAGAAATAACTGGAAACTCAAGAGAGCCATGACATTATGTTCTTTACAAGTGTATGTAACCTTTTGATCACAACTGTATATATTTTCTATACTGGCAACCTTTTATTAAGCTTTCAACAAAATACAGAAGCGCATCATTTCAAAGGATAGTTTTTGATAGATGTTGCTATGTTAATGCCTGTATTTGTTCTCACACAGAATTATGTGCCAAATAAATTAAAAAAATGTTATGACTTATTGAATCCTTTGACAGGAAACCAGTTTTTGCGCCCCTGCAGATGAAAAACAAATAAGAGCTACACCTAACGGCTCACAACAGACAACATTATTACCACCCACGATCAAATCAACATATATAAGAGAACTTTAGTTGAGCTCAACACGATTTAAAGAGACTAATTATTCTCTGCGTCCTTCAGGCTTCACCATCACTGATTCGAGCTACGGTCAGTCCCATTTCTCCAGCGTGCAGCAGCTGCAGGATTCCAGCACCCTGGAGTCTCAGGCCTTGTCTTCCAGCTACCACCCCCCGAATCTGCTCCACGTTCCCAGCGAGGAGGTGGTGAGTTCCGGGCCTCCACATGCACCATTACTCCTCTCGTGCACTCATTTTAACTTCAATTCTCAGATTTAGAAAGCTGATTACATTTGTTTTTAAATTCACCATTTGTTTGTATTGTTTCTGGCCTTGATATTTAACTTCAGTGCTATTGGTTTGCTTGAGGTTACACCATAGACTCCTCTTCTAGATGAGATTTTAGTTTTATTTTTTTTAAATTTTTTATTAGACTTTAATGACATTTCTCTAAAGCTGAATCAATGCCTCTCTAAAATGATTGACTTGAAATCCACTGATAACAATCGCGAGAAAGATAGAACATTTCTTTGAAGGACAAAAAAGTGTTATGAAGTGAATTTTTCAAAAACAAACATACACATACAGTATCTGACTGTCAGTATTAATGTTTTTTTTCCCTTCTATAATCCAGGCGAATGGGCTTCTTCAGCAGAGCAGTCAGGATGAGCTTGAGCTGACCACTCAGGACTACCAGGACGACAGCGAGGACAACAGCAAGAGAGCCTACAGGTTGACTTCTACACGATTCATTTGTTGTGTGTGTGTGTGTGTGTGTGTGTGTGTGTGTGTGTCTGTGTGTGTGTCTGTGTCTGTGTGTGTGTGTGTGTGTGTGTGTGTGTGTGTGTGTGTGTGTGTGTGTGTGCGCGCGCGCGCGTGGCTCTAGAAAGTGCTTCTATCTCTTCAGCAAAATCCAACCCTTTGTAAAGAGTAAAGTAAGAGTAAAGTTGAGTGCACTCCCACAGTTCTTTGCCTTCATTTCCAAAGGGAATTTATGATCTCCCTAATTCATGGTTCCTTTTAAACTCTGTCGCCGTAGTTAAAAGACATTAGTGGACTTTGATCCCACGGAATTAGTCCATTCTCCATTCAAGGACAAACCTTCAGTTTCGTCGATAACAGCTGCTGTGGTTTTGGCTCAATGATTTCATTTTTTATCGAAAAGTGAATCTCGGCTAATTCGGACGTTTTTCAAGGTCGTTTTATTGTCCCTTCAAATCTCACAAATCGTCAAGCGTCCTCATGACTCGATGCCGCCGCCAGAGCCACATTTCACACCAGAGTGGTGTTAAGGGCTCCATGGAGAATACGCGGTTTGCACTGAACCACTTGGCATTCCATTTTGTCATATGAACTAGGAAATGTTTTTCAACCTGTATTTTGAGTATTTTGAGAGCTGTTCGGCCAACTCTGGGTCACGCAGGAGTGTTATTCATTCTACCATTGCTTCGCAGCTCTGTGGCCTGATGAGCTTTTCCCTCTGGCCTCCTCTTTGTCCTTCGTCTCAGTCACCTACTTGACCAAACAACCCTTTTTGCCAGATGATTCCCATTTACTGGTCTCACGCTCTCAAAATGACAAACATACTGAGCGTTGGGCAGGGAGGGTGTAACAACTTGTTCCTGACATTTTCACATCACTGTGATTATTTAAAACCAGACACTTCCTGTAGGAACTCTGGTTTCTGAAACTATAGTTTGTAATGCGTAAAGATATTTCAACATATCTTTTGTGGGGCTTGAAGCAGATTAATGATAGGTAATAATAACCACCGTGCCCGGGGAAATAAAATGCACCGCTTACAGCATTGACAGATGTCTGCATTTGATAACTTGCCTCACCTTTTATTATCAGCATCTTTCATTCCAAGATTTCCTCCCTTGAAGCCAGAGCATTCAGACACATCTGCACAGATACTTTCAACTTCAAACCACAAAATGTTTTTGGATTTTTTTGTAAGGCGGACACCAAGTGCCATCCATGTTTTTTTTTTTACTCATCAGTCATTCAAATTCATGAATGAGATTTGACTAGAATTAAATTAATAAACGTAAGTCCTCTGCATCACACGTAGTTTGGATATTTCACCCTGAATATTATATCAGACAAGGAAAAACATTGAAGAGGGAGAGCAAATACAATATTGACCCTCACCAGATGCATTTCTAGAGAGGGTTGAAAATAAAGGCAGAGGGGATTTTTCCTTGAAGAAAGTTTTCAGTGCACCGCCTTTGGACACCCCTGAAGACTTTTAAACTAACCGATGTTTATTCTGAAATTAGGTCTGACTCAAACGAGCAGCCATGTTCGTCCGGTTTGAAATCCAGAAACAAACAGCGAAACATTTGTCCAATCAAGGTCCTGGTGCAAAGTGACACCCCCATCAAGCGTGTGGACGTAACCTCGGTGAACACATCTCATCTGTCCCCCATCAGCCCAATGGGTTATGTGACTGTATAGATGACTTACATGTTGTACATCAAATCCTTTTGTAAATAATAGCAACAGTGACTTCTTACCTTTTCAGGTGCAATTGGTGTAATAAGGGCTTCAAAAAGTCGAGCCATCTGAAGCAGCACGTGCGCTCACATACCGGGGAGAGACCATACAGATGTCCTCTCTGTGGACGAGCCTTTGTGTCGGCTGGAGTGCTGAAGTCCCACCTCAACACGCATACAGGTGAAATCTTTCCCTAATTAATTCAATTTTACAAACCTCTAAGTCCATAAAGGTTATAGGCACATTTAAATATATCTTACCCCGTTGTAAATGAAATGGAGCACACTGATGGTAATGCTAATGCCAAATGTGCGCACTTTAAACACTAAAGGTAGATTCAGACAGAGCTTCAGTGTTGGTGACTCTTAGCTATAAACACAAGGTCCATTAGCAGCATGAGAAAAGTAATGGAGTTTCATAAGTTTTTAAGTAGTTCACAGATAATTATTTCTAGTAAACCCCCCCTGAATTCATTCTAATAGAACTTCCAGAAACGTGCAGACACTGTGTGAAGCCCGGCCTCTCTCACCTCTCGCCAACAGGAGTGAAGCCGTTTAAGTGTAGTGTTTGCGATGCCTCCTTCACCACCAATGGCAGCCTGAACCGCCACATGATTATCCACATCAAGTCCTTCAAATGCTCCATGTGTGACGAGAGCTTCAGGACCAGCCTGCTGTGTAAAAAGCATATGAAAAAGGAGCATGCTGTGCAGGATCAAAGTAAGGATGCCTGGACAATATTTGCATGTTTTGCACAGGACACTTTTCCACACGCAGGGTCATTCGAGTTCTATTGCATCGCCGTAGTTAGGAAGGCTGTTTGAAAGCATGTCCACGTTTTTAGCAAGATGAAAGACATCTAGATAATAGGAGGAAGGGGACAGTGCTATCAGCATGCAACATATAGGGTTTTATTCTCCAACACAGTGTAAAAAAAAAACGGTGTTTCAAGTAACGTGTGTGGGTGGAAATTATGTCCTGCTGTTAATATAAGTGTATATTTTTTTTACTCACATTGAAAGTATTTTATTTATTTAGTATAACCTAAAGGCCCGTAATGATCATTGAGCTTTTACAGTTATAAGTCTGGATAGTCAAGACATTGACGAAGAGGATGATGAAGAAGACGAAGAAGAAGAAGAGGAGGAGGACGACGACGAGGACGGGGAGCAAAAGTCAAAGAGGAGGAGCTTGGAAATCATCACTTTCACTGAGGAGCAGGCGGCAGAGCTGGCCAAAGACCCCGGGGAGGAGGCCTCGGTGTCGGAGCGGATCCTCGCCCAGTCAGCGGCTGAGCGGGATCGAATCAGCGAGATCAAAGACAAGGCCGTCGAACTGGAAACGGAACCCAAGTTTGCCAACTGCTGCAGGTTCTGCCCCAAGAGCTTCAAGAAGCCCAGTGACCTTGTCAGGTAAATATCGTCGCAGCTTCTTTGACTATGAGTACACCAGATATGTTTTTAGTTTTTTAGACATGGAGCGATTCAGGTGTTGGCAGGTTGCTTCAAACTCCCCATGCAATTGGCAGTTACTGTGTCAGACTTCCTAATTAAAGATAAAAAGTGGTAAATGACAGTCTGAATGAAATATGAAAGGTATCCCAAAATTCAGAAAAGATATTTGAAGTAAAGTTTGAAAATAATATTTTTAAATAAACAAATATAATATAAACAATATATATTTATCAGATACGCAAGCTCGTGCAACATCATTAGCAATGGCAAAGGCATGAGCTGTGTGCTTTTTGGTCATAACTAGTAAACACCCGTAAGCCTGTACATTCTATATTTCAATTCCATTGTTTCACCCAAACTCAGTGTGCATTCATCTGCTGTCTTATTTTCCTCTCCTTAAAGTCTCTCATCTGTCTCATCTTGTGCTCTTTAAAAGCGCCTTTGACAATCTGCTTTCCACGTGCAGGCACATTCGGATCCATACAGGAGAAAGACCATACAAGTGTGATGAATGTGGGAAGAGTTTCACAGTGAAATCTACCCTGGACTGCCACGTGAAGACACATACGGGTAAGAGCTTCATCACCAGAGCTTGACTGAATTGTGGTTGAACGTATTTCACTTTCGTACAAGGTTCCTAATCGGAATTTCTGGGACAATGTGGTTTTTAGAGAAGGGGAATCTAAACAGGGTAGTTTCCTTGATGTTCATTGATACCACTCTCGCTCATATTTGTCCTATCAATCTTTCACCAAGAAAGCCGACGTTGAACTGTTTGTTTAACTGGAATTTATCAGAATTTGTTAGGATGTGCAAGCATGTTGCCATGGTTTCCAGCCCAACTGCTTTGAAACCTTCATACTGCCGAGAGAAAAACAGTGAAGTTTGATAAAAGCCCCCTGACCCGATTCCAGACTCTTTATTATTAATCGATCTCTATCAAATGTATATAAGACAGTCCTGTTAGTTTTCCAGATTGATACTGCACATAGAACAAAGGCCAGGAATGATGACGAGCCACACGTCTTATGTATTTACTCTCCTGACTGTATCTTTCTAGGTCAGAAACTCTTCAGCTGTCACATGTGCAACACCTCCTTCTCTACAAAGGGCAGCTTAAAGGTGCACATGCGTCTCCACACGGGCTCCAAGCCCTTCAAATGTCCCTTTTGTGAGCTGCGCTTCCGAACTTCAGGCCATCGCAAAACCCACTTCCAGTGCCACTTCCGGCCAAGCCTGGACAGCCGCAAGTCCAAGCGCTCCGTCGCAGCCGGCGGTCAGGCTCAAGACCCCGAGAACGGGCAGGTCGTGGGACTGGGCGAGGGTCAGCAGCCGGCATCTTCAGAGGTCCTCCAGTCCGTGGGTCTGCTGCAGACGTCCAACTCTGACCCCAACATTTACCTCCCAGCCAACCAAGTCCTGACAGGGCAGTTTGACCAGAGTCTACTGCAACCGGGACTGGTGGGACAAGCCATCCTGCCCGCCACCATGTCAGGTAGGCATCATTGAGACTGCAAAAGTTGTCAGCAGGCAATATGTGGAGAGGATAGAATTTCCCATTTAATTAAAATGGCCGCGCAAAATTGTGTTATCCCCAAGAGGTCCCTATGTGGTGTTATGGATGACCCAACAACGACACAATTCATGTGAATTCAACACTAATTTTCACCATAACGGTGTACCAATGTTTAATTCTCCACCGTTGTGGGTGTAAGTGAGATGCAGCTGGGGACACTCATTTCCAGTCAGTCAGTCAGTAATCAGCCACCAATTGCTCCGGATGACGTCAATTGCAACACGAGGCCTGATCTAGCAAGTTCCTTGAGGAGGAAGGTGCTTCATCAGCAGAAGCCTCTCCCTGTACATCCTGTCCTCTCAATCACAGAATACCATTTGGTCCTTGTCCACACAAACCTGCTTTTGCATGATACCCACACTCTTCTCAAGTGTTCATGATGTTTGTACTGCGTTTCTGAAGCAGATAAAACTGCACATACTTCCTCCAAAACATTCATTTGGATTTAAGTGCAATGTGTTTGCTGAAGGTTTGCAGCCATGAAATGACTTTCTCCACAGCTCGTGGAGCATAAAAGTTGGGGCTAAAAAGCTTTACCAGTCATTGCCTTCTTCTTTAAGCTTACTGCTCCAGATTTCAACATTCTCGCTCTCTCTTTTCGGCATTTCGAGAGACGTGCAAACCACCCCCAAAAACGTCTATCCTTTTATCTTCTGGGAAACAACTGAAGTCATGTCGCATGTCTCTCACTCTTTTGCTGGTACTTACTCATCTAGGATAATCTTGCTCAAGCAGAAAGCAGCAAGTCATTTTCACAGCTCAGAGGCCCCAGCTGTGCGTATAATGGAGTGTATACCATGTCTATACATGCTGATTAATGTGCCTCCAGGGACGTCCTCGTCTGGTACCGTTAAAGTAGCTCCTTTTTGTCTGTTGAATCAGGCATTGCCCTTTGTTCATAACGTCATGCTTTCTTTGCCTGCCGTAGCCCTCCGACTCACTGCAGTACTCATTTGAGTGGGAAAATAAATCTGTTATAACCATGCATTTTCCTGACATGAACAGCTGATTGAGTTGTGTAACTTATAAATGTATGCACATGTTGAAGCTGGGACAAAATAAGTGTAGTTTCTGGATGGATGAACCTTAGCACAGGTAAAGTACTTGTAGCACAGTGTGAAATCTCTAATAATATCTGTGTGTGTGTGTGTGTGTGTGTGTGTGTGTGCTATAGCTGCAGGAGACCTGACTGTGTCTCTCCCAGATGGCCTGACCACGCTAGATGGCATCCACCTGCAGCTGACACCTGGCAACCTGGTTTGCCCCAACGTTCAGATCTCTGGCATCGATACCAGCAACATCAACAACATCACACTACAGGTTACACTCACTCAAACCAACTAACGAGCATCGTGTTAGCGTCCGTGTGCGTCATTGCCGTGGCCTCAAAGAGATTGTATGAAGTGCTTCTCCACAGTCCGTGTATTAGCCACACTAGATTGGAGCTGAAGACGGGGGGAAAGCAATGTGCTGCTGTGGATAAGGGGGCAGCAGCCAAATGAATTGTGGCCAGAATAAAAAACACGAAGGCCCATCAAAAAACATCCATGTTACATTTTTTATATTTTCACTGCTTTACCGTTATCTCAGACAGCCCTTTCTCATGGGAACTGAAGCCGTTAGATTCATTGATACTCTCTTCAAAGACACATTTTTCCTCGCAGAATACACAATTTGCAAAGACTGTTTTTGTCAAAAGAGTCGTGTGTCTTTGAAGAGAGTGTTGATAACTGCTTCAGTTGCCCGGCAGGAAGGGCTGTCTGACGCCAAGGCAAAGCAGGGGAAATATTCTACCGCCAATGTGTACTAAAGTGATGTAAAAATAAGTAGCTGGGCCTTTATTGCGGAGCAGTAAATGTTTTGATGCTGCCTCCGTCCACAGCAGTACTCTGCTTAGTGTCTCTTTCTACTGTGGCTAATGCACCGTATCATAAGCACCTCATAAGCCCCTCTTCTAAAAGATGAGTTATTCCTTTTTGTTATTTCAATAACATTAATATTATTATAGTCAATTAATTTGTGCCACTTGTTTTGATCATGCATTAAGCTGCTATTGCCTTTTATTACTTACAACAAAACTGAGCTTGTGCTCTGTCATGTTTTTCATTTTTTTATTGTAGGTAATCTATCTTTTAGCGTTACTTGGATGAGCAATTGTCATGGTTTTATTTCCTAAAATACTGAAGTTTATGGACCCAAAGCTTAAATGTGAGACTAAGCATCATCTTTGATTAAACTACCAGCCTAAAATTAGCATATAAGTATGTTTCAAGTAGGAATCACGGTAGTTTGCTGCATTGCATCTCACGGTTCCATGACTCAATAATCTTCATTTACAGAGACACTGTATTCTGTGAATACAGTTGACCAACGCTTTAATTAATCAAATATTAATTACATTCCCTTTTAAGTCTATCAAAATGCTTTAATAACCTAAAGACTGTGGGCTATTTTACAAATAACATAACAGAGCTGTACGTGTTGCCTTTTTAACTATTTAATTGAGCAGAAGACAATTTAAATGGTCGTCCCTCCTGTGTTGCATGTCATATTGTCTGAATCGTTCCACTCTATTAGACCGAGTAGTTGGTGCAACATTTCTCTTGGATGGGTGGATGTATCATCTTCATGTTAGGCAGAGGAGTTCATAACCACGGCCTTGTACAGTTGATTTACACAACTTAAAATGTAAAACCCTTTTTCAACATTCCCAAATTAGACATTTTTCTTTTTTTAATAAGGGGATCAACGTTTGTTTGTTTTCTTTGTTTTTGCTGAATTCAGAGCAGCACTGATGTGGTAAGGAGGATGACAGCTACTACTAATGAGGTGCTTTTTGCTGCAGCTGCATTGCCAAAGTCACACTGTAATTGTGCTCCTTCCTCCATGGCATCTTTTGGCAGTACAGTGGAATTAGATGATTTTACTATAATATCTCTAGTGAGCGTATATGCACTGAACCAAATGAGCAATCTAGTAGAGGAGCAATCCCACAGGAGCAACAGAACGAGATTAATGTAACTGCTGCAGTGGAGGCCCATGACTACTTTTAATCCCGTCAGCTGTAAAATGAATTAAAATAATTATTTTCAACCTATGTGATGGGATTTCTATTCCTGTCCAATAAGGTCTTTTAGTTTTTTTTTGTGAAGGACTGATTTAATTTCGATTATTGGAATTTGTTCAGATAGTGTTCATATCCTCCATCCAAACTCAAATAAATAAATAAAATATATAAAAATACCTTTCCGTGTCACAACTAACACTAGGAGAGATTAGAAAAGGCTTCTCAAAATATATAGGGCATATATGAGTATATACATACATACATAAGTAGGTTTGAAGATATTAAAAAGTGACTGACTTTTTATTTTTTATTCTTAATATATTGTAAATCAGATTTAAGATGTCCAAAATTGTATAAGTATCAAAGGGTGACAATTTCCTCAATGATCTAAAATATTTTTTTAAAGCAACCCTGTGACAATGGACTTTTACAAACCCCTCTCTCTCTCTCTCTTTTCCTCCTCCTCATCACCTTTCCTCATCTGACCTCCTGCTTTTTCCCTTCCAGATTGACCACGCCCTCCTCCAGCAGACCTTACAACAAGGCGGCCTCCTCTCTCAACCCCTGAGCATCGACACTGGCCTCGTCTCCCATTCCGGCAACCAGCTTATGTCGGCCACCGACCCCTCGATGTCTGCCAACGTTGTTATCCACCCACTCACCAGCCTGGCCCTGCAGCCCTCCTCCATCACGCCCACTCAGGTCACAATGGCCAGCCTCTCTGAACAGGATGCTACAGGTATGTGTGGTGGAAAAAGCAAAACGCTCTCCGTTGTGAGCCGCACAGCTGATCCACGCTTTCCTGTGGATGCTGCAGGTTCCCAGGACCTCAGCCACGTCATAGGCAGCTCTGGACTTGTAGCTGGAGGCCCGAGTGGACAGGAAATCACATTGACCATCAACAATTCCAGCCTGAGTCAGGCCCTGGCCCAGGTTCATGCTCAGGCCTCCGCTTCCGGTTCCAGCGCTGCAGCAGGGAACCCTCAGGAGATCACGCTCACCATATCGGGTAACAACAATACAAAGAAAAACAGCAGTTTACTGTACAGTTACTCTGTATGCTCACAAGTGCAGAAACGAACAATAATAAGACAGCAGATACAATCCCCTGTAACTCTGTATTGATTTCCTCTCTGAAGGAGGGCACGTTTGCAAGCAGAGAAGAAACACAGATGCATTAATAAGTCAAAGCCTGTAGATTTATTTTGATGCCACTTCTCCGATCAACATTAAAAGACACAGTATTAAAGGTTCTGAGTGATAGTACCTCTTCACAACCAATTTCTCTCCCACACATCATCACCAACTAAAAGCCAGCTGGTCATAAATCAGCTGTGGATAAACCTTAAATCCGGTGTAGAAGTGTGAGCCTCTCTGAGGATCCTAAAGGATTTCCATCACACTACAGCAACATATATAGAAAAACTATATTTTACTTGTGTTATGTTTTGATATTGTAGAGGCATGATGACATTCATTGGGCATTACTTCCCACAAGTTATTGATCAGTTGTTCTTTAGGCAGTGGAAAAGAAGTGAAGATGATTCCATGGACATGGATTCCATAATATTTTTTGTGCCGGTCTCTCTGTTGATCCCAAATTTGATTTTATGTCTCTGCATCCTTGGATACACATCCCATCCTTCCCTGCTATACGAAAACTGCAAGTGAATAACGTCTGTACTATAAGTGGCTTTTCTGTATGCTTTGCAGGTCAGGATCTGCTGCCCCATCATAGCCACTCTAATGGGGCGGAGATGACTGGCAGCATCAGGCTGGCGTCACCACTCAATAGCCAGTCCGCCAGTGCAACGCTGACCATCAGCAATGACCATCTCCTCCCTCAGAGCCCCGCCAACACTGGAATGGCAGGTTAGGACTTGGACAGCAGTATTTGTTTTGTTTCTAGATGACCACAAGTTCGTCGCTCTGAAACCTTGGAGTCCCCAAGATATGTTCAAAGTAGCTGGTATGTTTTTATCAGAACCTTTCTAAAACATTTACGGACTGATTTCTTAGGAAGCAATAAAAGCGCTTCACTCCCTCATTTATTGAAATACATTCAGACATTCGTGGTCACAAAGTACCCGCCCCTTTCTATCAGTCGTTCCACACCACTTCAGTTTTCTAAATGCACACAAAATCTGCATCTCTGCCCTGCATCGAGCCGCCATTAGTGACCCGCTGCATGACTCTACTTGACTCAGGGCCACCACTTTAAGCCAATAGCATGGCTACAACATTGGAGATAAGCAGCTGACCGACTTGAGCACAACTTATTAAATTGGCGCAATTCTTTGTTGCAGGAAATTCTAAAATCAATATGGCCCTCTAACGTTATTGACATAATTGAGCCAGGCTGCACCTTTTTAGCTTTGAAACATCGTCTCAAGACAGAGAATTAATAAGCTGTTGTGGCTGCGGGAGCCTGGAAACGACACCGTGATCCCTGCTGCAAAGTTTCTTCTTGTAGGCTACACAATTCATCGTAAGTGAATGTACGTACACGCTGCAGGCATTAGTCAAGAGTAGGTATAACTGAGGCACATATGTTTATGTGAAATGCCGTCACTTAATAATTGGACAGCAGGATGAGAAAGTAAAAGGCTGAGAAAAAAAGGCTTGTGCACAAGCGAACGGATACGACTTGTTTTGTCAGATGGCTCGCTGTTTACTGGTTTGCGTGTCACTTTTTAGGCTTAATCAAATTCCCAGTCACTCATCCCTCTCTTCATTAGCCTTCCTTCTCAACTCGAGTGGAAAACATTTCCACCGCTTCACAGAGACTGTGAGCATCTCTGCTCGTGTTGATTGGAATGAAGCCTTCCAGACACTTTGTATGTTAATACGGTTCAACCTGCACCTCGGCTGATAAACTGTACGGGGTCACGCCGCCCCTTCATATTATAATAAAATATTGCCTGGTGTTCTTCACGGGTAATATAATGGAGTTTCATCCCTGACTGAAGCTAATGAAAATATTGTTATTTTTATTCATGGAGCAAAACACCAAAAGGCTGTTCGTCACGTCCTTAAATATAGCTTCACATCGCTGTCATAATTGAGGAAGCAAGAAAAATTGGTAAAACGTAACACTGTGACTGCGCCTGATTAGTTCATCACTCTCTGCAATATTCCAAACCAATCGACCGTTAAAAACGACGCAGCTGCTTCACAAGTAAAAACAACGGTGTGTGTTTTTCCAGTCGGATGCTTTTTAATGTGAAGCATCGGTGACAGAAATGGTCCAGGTGGCATTAGCAGTAACTTATCACAACTGTGAATTGCACCCTCACCGTTTCCTTTCAATCCCTCTTGCACAGGTAGACAATTCCAACGCTATTACAGACCCAAACTCTAATAATCCCCTTTCAAATGCCGAGTACATTCCACTACATTTACCACAAAGGCAACATGACGCTGGCTTACAGAACTCTAACCTTCTCAATCTCACTTGTCAGTGTCCAGCCTGCCACCCAGCACCACCCTGTCACTTCCTGCGGTGTCCCAGAGCCTCGTGATGTCACCAGGAGGGGTTGCCGGCGACGACACAGTTACACTCACCCTGGCGGATGCCCAGGGAATTCTGGATGGTGTCACTCTAAACCTCAATGCGCAGGTATAAACGGACAACAACGCACACAAAGACGCTACGGAATTTAGAGGCCATCTGTTGCCGCTATTTGGTATCGTGACAGATTTAAAAACACAGGTTGATTTAAAATGTATTTGTACACACTGTCAGTGACAAACAACATGACAAATTGGTGATGTCATTAAGCATGTGTGACGATCAAACTTGACATTGTGAAGTTGGTCACCTGCCTTACCAGAGCATCTTTTGATCTTCAGGGTCAGTTTCCTGCAGTGCTCAGTGACCCGGGACAACCCAACAGCTCAGGCCAGCAGGTCATACTGGTCAGCCACCACTCGCAATCCACGAACGGAGCATCTGACAATGGATACAATGTGAGTGTGTGCCTGCCTGCCTGTGTGTGTGTGTGTGTGTGTGTGTGTGTGTGTGGTTCTACAGTGACGCATTGATGCTTAAAATGGCATCATGATAATCCACAGTGATGGATTACCTGTCAAGCAAATTAGTGTCTACCCGTTGATTTTCATCATACGCCTGAATTGTAATCATGGGCTGGATGGAAGATGTAAAAACACATTTGTCAATCTCAGACTGGATTGTAATGGAAATATGCACCACGAGTGTAACACTTTAGGACAGTAGTGAGATTAAACCAGGTTTATGAAACATAGCCCAGGTTTATCATTATTTCCAATGCTTTGGGGAGTAACGGTAAACGCGTCTCTCGCTCATCTTTTGCGTTTCGTCCAGATTACTGACGATGGCCACAAGGGTGGGAAGGATGGCCAGGCGGAGGCCGACAGCCAAAACCAGTGTTACTACTGTAATCAGGTATTCCAGAATGCCAACACTCTGCGACGCCACTGTAGACAAGCCCACGGCAAGGACCGCTGTCACGTCTGCGGTCTCTGTAACAAGGCCTTCAAGCGAGCAACACACCTGAAGGTGAGAACCTGCGTGAGAACAGCCGACTGTGATGCGGTTGATTGCATACGTTTGATGGTGAAATTATTCCAGGTGATCACTTATTCAAAGGAGCAGTGCGTAGGGCTTCGTGGCTTCCATGGGTGGGGTTTTGGAGAACTACAGGGACTCTGGAAGAAATGCAAAATGTTTGTCCATTCTGGGTTACTGTAGAAGAATGTCAGTGCGACATAGTGGACCCTATGAAGACGATCCTCTCCCTATGCAGATATAAACGGCTGATTCTAAGCAAAAAATTCACCGTTGCACAGAAATCTTTTTTATTTAAGCTAAATCAAGTAGCATTTTGAATAGACTCCTCCGTGCAACAAAATAGTCTGTAATTAGCGTGTAAGTTAATATAAATTGTTGAAGTATTACTTTAAAGTGACTACCCTGACATCATTGTGAGCGCGGTGCATAGAGTGGAGACAAACTGGGTAATGTAAAGGTTTTCTTTTTTGTGTGGTTGAAAGTTTTATTATTATTTTTTTTTTCCTTCATCTTTTCAAAAGTCAATGTTCTACTGATTTTCCCAAATAACCCGAGGCCATTCTATCAAACTGCATCCATAATGAGCCCAAATATCCTCGGAACCAGTCTACCCAAATTCTGCAAATGCCTGCAGGCCCTAAAGAGATGAGTAATGCTTCATCAATGCCATCAAGACTGTATGTCTGGCTGAGTGGACAACAGCTTCCAAAATGCTGCTTCAGAGAGTTTGGGCAAATTACATCAGAATTATAACTCTTTTGTTTGAGGGTTGTCAATATTTGGTAGACACATGCAATCAAACTTTTTTTGCAGAACAAAGAATTGTATGTATTTACGACCTGGACCACTCTCAGTATAAATGTTCAGTTTACTACCATACATGACATGAATAAGCACAGCATTGTGCTGGAACCAGCAAATCACTTGTTCACTAGTTTCAGCTTGAAAAATGACATTTTCCAAATAGTTCATTTCCTGTCAATCAACCAAACAAAGAACCATTTTTGGTTTTACAGCACACACAATGACTGGTAATTTAAACCTATGGTGGGTCAGTTATAAAATTAGTGCACATTCACTCAGTTGAGGCATAATGGCTAAAATATTGGTCATTTTTATTGTTCATTATTGCGTGAGCCATCCGCTCAGCACATCATTTAACCGACTTCAACCCAAGAAAGATGGAAGAAGAAAAGTCAAATTCCCTGTTTAAAATGACTGGCGGGCTCGAGACCCTCCTGAATCTGTAACTGAAACATCGAGCTATCCCGTCATCAGAGGGACACGCCGACAATAAAATCCTGTTTTTATTGATTTGTCTGCAGGAGCACGAAAGAGTGCACCAGCCGGGCCCGTCACCCAGCTCCCAGAAACCCCGAGTCTTCAGCTGCTCCTCCTGTGTGAAGGCCTTCGCCAAGCGCAGCCAGCTGGAGAGACACAACCGGACGCACACAGGTCTCAGCGTTATTGCTGTCACAGTACAAATGTTGTGATTGAAATTCAAATGTATTTTACACTTTTAGAATGATAATAATAGCAACATCAACAGTAACATGTCACACTCCCCGTTTTATTGGTTATTCAACATTTTATTTATTGATTCACTTTTCATTACGATGGTAAAAAGAAAGTCGTGCCAACCTGGAAGTTGTAATATCTAGAAAGAGGGCGGCTGAGACTCCTTTCGTCCCTTTTTTGTTCGCCAAAAACCCCCCAAAATGCCAAGCGACAAATGTGGCAGCCTTTTGTGCAGGCCGTGACTCTCCTCTCTCAAAGGGAGTAGCCATTAGTTCAGAGTGCTGTGCTCTCATGTGGCTCGGGCTCTCTGGATTGCCAGTGTTCAGAGAGTGGGCTCCATCTGCAGCACGCTGAGCCGACCAATAAGCAGCCAGGCAGGAAATGCTGTGAATGTGTGAACATTACTATCGTCTGTTGCTAACTTCCTTCGTGTTTGTATTCATTCCCACTGATTGAACACTGCGGGTGTATTAATTACCTTATCTAGATCCACTATATTTATGACACTTCACAGGTCAGATTTAGATGCTTATTGAGGAGATTGTGATGAACTTTAAAGGAGCAGTTAGTAGGAATGAGTGGCTGCTAGTATTGAGGCTGAATATGTCCCTCTGTTATTATGGATGCTAAGGGAAAGCCTGTTAATCTGAAGTTGTCTTTACTGATATTCCAGCACCATATTCACGATAAAGGCGGGTGGAGCGTTGGTTCTCCTCCTCTAATGTGGTTTCAAACAGCAACGTGCAATACCACGTAGTGGAAAAGTTTAGAAAAGTTGTATAAATGAGGAGAAACCTTTTGAGCGCCATGGCAACATGTATGTCAAACCTCCAGTATGGGTTCATGCTACTTGGTCTACTGCACGTCGGAAACTCCACAGTGAGCGGCGACACTCAAAGGAACACGACACAATGTTTAACTAACAAAAAGCTTCCCTGTTTGATATTCTTTTCAAACCTCAGCACACTCGTGACTATTCTTTTTGGTAGAAATCGGATTGACAAGATTTCCATGTCAAACGGAATCAAGAGTCCCGAAGACGTCTTGAATAAAATTGAAAAATGAATAGTGTGAAACCTATTTGTAAGCTTTCCTTTTGAGACACATTCATTATATATATATATAATTTATGTATTCATGCAAACACAGCTAATCGGCAACTAAATGCCGATTGGTTTTCTCTCTTTAGTCTCAAAGCAACATTGAAGAACAAAAACCTTCCATCCCGCATCTATTCCAAGGCTTTGCTTTTGTTTTTTGCTTTTCATAAAATTAATAAGTGACTTTAGTTGTGTAAGCGAAGGCGACTGGATACCCGAGGCCAGTCTGCTGTCTGGAGCAGTGATGTAGAACATGGAGAAGCTCTCTGCTGTGTGTCAGGGCCCCCGCTGTGTCATTCATTCATATGTGAGTGGGATTTCGCCCCTCGTCTTCCTCCAGGCAGATACACTTGTTTCTAAGTATGCAAGTACACACAAACTATGCAAGATAATATTAGTACAATGTCCTTCATCACGTCGCAGCTTCTTTTCTACGTGTCTACGTCAGGAGGCTCTTTTATGGCTAACAGATATTTCTTTTTCATGCATATGGGAATGGAAATTAATGGAGATTTTAGCTTGTACAGTCGTGGGTGTGTGGAGGAATGTATTTGCTTGAGGTTGCTGGTACATCTTTCTGCCGCATAACATATTGCACTATACTTAGTCCCAATAATCTTACTTGGCACTAAATGAATCTGAACCCGTCGTCCTAATGCATGAAAATACGTGTGTGTGTGTTTTGTTGCAGGCGAGCGGCCTTTCAAGTGCGCCCAGTGCGACAAGGCCTTTAACCAGAAGAGTGTTCTGCAGGTCCACATGGTCAAACACACTGGAAAGAAGCCCTTCAAATGTGAGGTGTGCAGCATCAGGTTCACCCAGAAGAGCAACATGAAACACCACATGAAGAGATCCCACGGCTACGGTGAGCAGCTGACCGGCCCCACGCCGCCCAGTGTGCAGCCAGATGTTCGGGCCGACACGCTTACTGTCCCGATGACTTTGATAGCGGAAGATGCACGTCCGGAATTTTAAATCGTTACTTCTCCAAAACCTCCTTGATTAAGATTCTGTTTTGTTTTTTTGTTGTTTTTCATAGCTATCGGCCACCTGCTTCTCCTGCTCCAAACTGTTGTTGTTGTATTAGCTTTCAATACCGAATCCACGATCAGTCAACTTTTTTTGAAAGGCAAAACGTAGAGTGCACTTTAGTAAAACAAACTCCCTTCTAATTCATCGTTTCTTCCCCTCTCCCTCTCCAGGTCAGATCCAAGACCCCTCCCTTAGACAAGACGAATCAGTGCACCAGGAGACACCTGAGCTCGACCTGGAAGCGGTTCCTGAACCATCCGGAGACTGGCACAATGTCTTCCCCTGACCACACAAGTCCCCCCGTCCCAGCGGCACCGTACAGATTGAGTTTCACAGCCAGGCAGCAACGCTTTGCCAAACCCAAAGACCTTGTTTGCTCCATTGCACACCGAGGGCTTCCACCCTTGTCTGATTGTCATGAATACATCAAACCTCCGGAGAGGTTTGGCTCGCTGAACGTAAGCATCCAAGAGCGTTCTCCAGGAGATGCAGGTCCCTCTCATGCCGACCCGGCTGGAAGGAGAGGAAACTCCTGAGAGACGAGCGTGTTATTGCTTCATAACGGTTGTGCCCACAGCGATGAAGCGGAGGTGCAAACAATTGCACTGGTATCATGACTTCAATAACCACAACATACCATTTTTTCATGGTTCTCCAAGATATGTCACTTCTTTTTTTTCACATATGTGTCGTGTATATAGTTTTGAGGTGATTTGTCATTTGCACTTAGTTCCATGTGTTTTTCTATTTTGAAGACAATACTCAAAGAGGTATCGGTTAAGCCGCCCCTCGTCCCCTGGATTTTATGCTGTACGAGGTATTCAATTACTTCAGTTCTGTAAATATTGTTGTTAGATTGCATCTATTTTCTGATGAATCGGCACAAAATACTTTTTTCGAGGTATGTCATTTGAACATAGTATTGCATTTATACTGAATAATGTACAGATAATAATTTTTTTCAGTTGTATTTTCTATTGTCCATAATAAATTAAGAATAAAGTAATTTTTGTACTAATTTAAACTTTCATCTTTTTTATCTTTGATTTTACGTCAAATAAAGCAATACATGGAGAAAGCTGCTTAATCACTAGCTACACATTTCTGTGTGTGTGTTTAAGGTAAAACATTGTATAGTACTTCAAAAAGGTATAAACCTTTCATAGTATTGTCGAAAAAAGTTTGTCAAAGGAACTATTAAAGTCGTAGCATGTCCCAAAAAATGAATAAAAAAGTCATAGTGTTGCAAAAGAAATTCATATTTTGCGAAAAAAGTTTCATTAATGTCAAATACAGGTAAGATTTAAAATTCAACTCGATGTATCCTGAATAATATATACTCATAATAAAAAATCGTCACATTTGAAAATCATTTTCTACATTGGTAGAAAATGTAAATGATTTAATACATAAGCTGAAGTGAATGCTCGCATTAATATCCCCCCCCCCCTTTAAGATGGTATTCAGTCAGGCACATCTGGACACTGCAATCTTTCCTCCATTCTTTACGAACCGCCTAATCTGTCAGGTTGCACGGAGATCATGAGCTTCAAGTCCAGCCAAAAATTCTCGGCTGGATCGAGGGGCGGGCTTCGACTCGGCCGCTCCAGAACGTCCCCCCCCGTCTGAGCCCTTTCTGCTGGGGCTCGTTTCTAAAATCTCCCCAAGTCATCTTCCTGCAGACTGAGCACGATCACCCTCCAGGATTAGGTGATATTTTTTTTTCTGCATTCATACTGTTCTTCCTTTAAAAGCCTTCCAGGTCCTGATGCTGAGAAGCATCCCGAGCGCCTGAAGCTGCCAGCAGCAGAAAGCGCCACAGTGGAGACGGAGCACTGCTACTGCCACTGCTGGTCATCAGACCAAACAACCTTCTCACAATTGTCCTCGGGGCCTTTGGGCAGATTCCAGGTGGTATTTCATATGAACAGAACTCTGTGGGATGCCCAGTGAGTTTTGAATCTTTTTCCTGCCACCTCCTTTCCAAAGATCTTTTCTCTGAGTTGCTTGCGGTTTTCTTTTGTCTCCATGTTGCTAGGAAACACAGGTTGTGACGATACGTTCACGTTTTCAAATACGTTTCAAATTGCCTCTGCAAAATGTTTCATGAGAGAAGGACGTGCATCCCCATTACGTTTGGTGTGAGATTGTAAATCCGTAAGTGGGAGGTCTGGGTGAGCCTGCTGGGCCTGCCGGGCCTGCTGCCACCGCGACCCGACCCCTGATAAGCGGAGGAAAATGGATGGGTGCGATTATAACCATTTCCTCGTGTTTTTTTAAACCACTCTCAGGCCGGAGGTTATTAGCATAGGGGAGGCCGGACTGGGAGTAGGAACCTGCTTGCGTGGCTCGGCACCACGTTTGTCAATTTGTCGCTTCGAAGAGTCAAATTGACATTTAGATTGACATCAACACTGAATGCAGAATCGCAATGCAACACACAAGAAAACTCAGGAGATATTTAACTTCACCCGGCCTTGAATGTGTTGACTTTGCCGTGCTTATTTGGCAATGACGTGTCAGGATGTTGCCTGCCGACTGATTCACGCTCCATTCGTCACTACACAAATATTTGTTTTGGAAAACTTGAGATTAAACGTTGTTCAAGCCGCCCCAGCGATAAGTAGCTCATAAAGCCGGGCATGAATAACCAATGCAAAATGTGTCATGGATTTCTGTATTTGCCTGCTGACTCACTGTAACCCGACACCGCTCTTCTTAAATGAGCATCAGCCAGAGAAAGAAAACACACAAAGCAGAGAGTAGAGTCTGTTTTACAGTTTTTATTTTTTATTCTCAGTTAAGTGGCTGGTCCTATTTTATTAAACAGAGGATCTTTACATTCATCCACAGGATCCGTTCAGAATCAAACAGCACTCACAAAGGATCAAGCTCACAAACGGTGGGAGAGACGGACGCTGCGGATGTCACATGTCTGCTTTTCAAACACATGTGGAACATGTGGATGTTTTCAACAGAGGTTTTCTTTTTTTAGATATTTAAATCACACATTCCCTAGAAACACTCCACAGAGTTAGTTACAGAGCACCTTCATTTGAAATTGTGGTTTTTAAATCATCCGTGAGAAGGCAACACAGCACTTTGTTTTGGTAGTCAGGCGGAAAGGAAACGGTCCTTGAACATTGTGTTAATTTACAGTATGTGGGACCGAAACAGCAAAGACAAAGGAGAAACCAGACTAAAGCAAAGCGGGGAGGTTCGAATCCATCGTTAGTGAAAACCATTACTTCATCAACCAAAAATAAATGAAACCTTAGTTATAACGCATTTGTTTGTTAGAAATAGGCCCCAAAGACAAACGTAGACAACATCACATTCATGACGGGACACTTAACCACAGCTACGACACAAAGGGCTTGAATGCAAACACACTGTGACCATCCCACAACAACGGGTTCATGGTTCACAGGAAGAGGTTTGTGGGAATGACAAAGACAGTGTTGACGAGACACAAAAAAAAGCTCATTTCTAAAACAGAAACACGGCGGCCTTTTTCCTGCAAGCAAGCGAGGGGCGACGGCGTCGAACCTTCCGCCGCTCCGGGTGCGCTTGGGTTTAGCCATCCTTTTGTTAGACGTGCACAGACACTCAAGCACGAGCACAGACAGCCGGGGGGGACGCTGGGGGGCAGTCGGGCCGAATACGTTTCAGCGAAAAGTTCAGGCTAATGATGAGGAATGCAGAGAGACAACGCGTGCAGAAGGGAGGAGGCAACAGATTGTGTCGCTATCTACCAGCCAAAATGGGTTCAGGGGGGGGGGGGGGGTAATAGGGATTTAGCATAAGTTAGAGTGTTATCAGAGGAGAAGGAGAAGGTAAGTTCACGGGGGGGGTGACGGGGTTTCTTCCTTTTCTTCTTCTTTTTCCTCCGTGCGATCTTGAACATCTGCCCTTGAGCGAGGGGTCGTAGAAGGACTTCAGCGTTTGGCTGGAGAGGAACTCCTGCTGCCCTGTACGACAGACGAGACATTTCTGATGAATGTGTGCGTGCGTGCAGGGGGCCGTTCCACGCATCTGGTCCAGCATTAAAAGAACTACCCCATTTGTTTTCAGTTGCCCTCTTTCTCCCTTCAGACTGTGATGGGCGCTTAAAGCTTCGGCACGCTAAGTCATCGCTGGTAACATTGACGAAGGCCAACGTGAATCATCGGTGACAGCCGTCTTAGGTTGCAAAGGTTTCCTTTAGTTCTTTCATTAAGCTTGAACGATGCAGTGACACGTTTTGAAGCTGTGTAGATGATGTCATGCTTAACGTTCAGAGTGGCTCTTTAACGGGAGCAGCAAGCAGGTTAGGATGGCCTGCAATGGTGCATGGATATGGAACCCAATAAAAAGGAGTACATCAATGTTATAGAGACATAAAGGAAAGATTGTGATTCTGGAAAACAAAAATCTTTTCAGTCAGATGAAAAAGAGTTGAAGTAATTGCGGCTCTTGAGTCATCTAATAACACATTCCCAGTATTTCATTCATTTGACTTAATAAGTCTCAATGTGTCCTGTTACACAATTTTAAATTAAAATCTTTGAATAAATATTTCCTATTCATTCACATTTTATTGCGGTTCAATGTGGATCATTTTGCATGCAGGCCATGTTGTTGATTTCTTTTAAACAACAACATAGTTAATTAAAAGTTTTCAATTTGTCTTTCAAGCTCTGAGGGAAAATATAGTTGGACATTCGAAGAGGAAATCACAAGTAATTACATATCAAAGATCCCGCAGATGTGTCGTTTGAGAGGTAAACATCACAGATTTCACTTTACTTTTTGTTCACAAACTTTTAGGGTGGCAGTCCTGTGTTTTTCCGCATTAACAGACAATTTTGTGCGTTTTCCATTCCCAACCCTCATTCAGATGAAAAACTAGGGAGGGTACGAGCCCTGAAAGCAGCACGATTAAACAAATGAAAACAAATCTTCATGGATTGTTTCCGAAGATAATTTACATCGTAAGAAGCTTTTTACCGCCCTTCATAAATCAAAGGCTGGGAGCCGAGGTTCGTTAGGAGCTTTTCTTAGAGCCGTTTAATACGAAATTCATTATCTGTAATGAAAGAGAGAAATTGAATATGCAGTTAGAAAATAAAAAACAAACAAGAGCTGAGGGTAAAGACGGATTATAACACCTTCAATGTGACACACTTACTTGAGCCGTTGTTGTTACAAGATTAGTGATTACAGTGTTAAATATCTGAAGTGATACGTTATTTATAAGTCAATCATGAGACAAAAATTAGGATTATAAATCGTTTCTTTTTTAAATTTCTGCACTCACTAATGGATTTGTTAAACCCTAAATTGTGCAACCATTCGTTTATAGGTTCATAATGATCAGTTGTGATCCTCCTCCTCACTGGAAGGAGCCAGTCGTGCTCTGCAAATGATTGACGATATCGCAGGATGGCGGCATAATGTACGCGGAGCCCTAGCGGCCCTCCCTGGGACGCACTGGCAGAGAGTGTTAGCCTTTTCCCCGCTGCGCCCTGACGGGAGAAACCAACTTCAGCGTGATTCTATAAAGCTTGTAGCACGCGCGCGAGGATCCCAAAAGCCTCTTATTATTCCTCTGCTGCTGCAGTAGTAATGAGATTAGGATGCCTTCTAAGCACATCAATATGGAGTGAGTTAAACTCAAGTATCCCTCCGCCATGAATCAGTTACTCACTCGGCTGCTGATATCATCACTGAGAGCAGAAAAGAAACAGGGGGAAGAAAGTGAACATTCCTTCAGTTGGCATGCTTACTTCAAGGAGAGAGAGGGGGGAGAGAGGGGGGAGGGGGAGATGTCATGTGGAGAGGCGACTCGTAAATAGCTTGGTTTCTTTTACCATTTTGAAGATCCTAGTGAGGGACCCTTTGCCGTCGCCCGCGCTGGCCTTCTTGGCCTTAGCAGACTGCGACTTCTGGTCGCCCTGCTCGGGGGAGAAGAACAAAGGAGAAATGCCGTCAGCGCTCAAAGATCCTCCCAGGTGTTTGTCAGGGGGACTCGGATTTCATTTGGTTGACCTTCCTGCATTTTGGCCGAGGATTCAGGCGACAGAGAGCGAGTGAAACCTCTTCCTCTGGGCGTGTGCGCTCGGAGGAGAGGGATTAGTGAGAGTGACAAAAAGCCAAACTGAAAAGAAAGTGCAATCCCCATTTGGCCTGACTTTCACAGTCTGATCGGGCTGCATTTCTGCCAGTGTTTTTTCATTGTCTCGTGTGAATTATGTAGAAGTTGGAACTGCTTCAAAGCGGCAAAGTTGTGTGTGAGAAACAAGCTTTGTGCTTGAATATTTTGTTGAGAATTTGAACATCCGTAAGTACGAACTAATCTCCCGGCCCTTGACCTTGACCTTGTCAGCACTTGGCGTTTTCCCTTTTGGGACATGATGCCATAAACTGATTTATTCGCCTCCTCAGGCTGAATCAACAGAACACATTTTATTTTGGAAACATTGTAATAGATTTGCTGCTCGACTCTTCACCTTATACGGGTATAAAGCTTCAACCTTTCATGATGTCCAATCAGATACGCATGAAAGCCGTGTACTACATGGACTAAGCTTCATTCTCAAGAGTCCACACACTGTAAGTGAGTGAAAGTGATTGAATGTGGTGATGGGGGAACCTAATGTTTCACGTCTTTTGCTCCCTCGACATAGAAAACAACCGCATCGCCCCAAATAGTTGTTACATTGTCTTCTCTTCGTCTTTTCGGAGCGCACACTTGCGCGAGAGGAGTTAAGTGCCGATGGCGCCGCGGGAGGAAGCAGAAGGCGTCCTCGCTGAGGATTTCTTTTTCTTGTTGTGAAACGCGGCTAATGAGGAGCAGAGCGATACCCGTGTTATCATGAACATACAACGTGGCGGACATTACATGGATAAGCATTGCCGCCAAGCTACAAAATGGGGGGGTGATGTATCTGGAAATGGACTTGAGCTGTCAGGTAATGAGGGCGTTATCGTTCATGTGTGTGGACAGATTGCAGCAGCTTAAGTGGTTGATGGAGACTGTTTGAGAGGGATGACCTCGCTGGCTCTCTGGGTTTAATTAGCCATGATGACTCTGGCGTTTCTTAAACTACCTACCAGGCCCATCCTGGCTGCTAGTCCTCCCCACTGGAGGTGCAGAGACAGCGAGGGAAAGAGGGTGAAAAAGGGACACGGGTCAAATAGAAACGTGTATCTTACTCAGCGCAAAAGCAGGACGGGAAGGAGAGGAGGCAGACAGGAGGGTCCATCCGGGAGGGGGGGGGGAGAGAAGTCACAGGGTCACAAGGGGGTATGTGGGGTGGGGGGGGAGAGAGAGGAGCAGGGAGGGCAGACGCTCACATTGGAAAGAGCACACATTTAGTGACATTCAGCAGCAGCACAGATGAACTTTCTGCAAACATCCTGGTTGAACGGGTGTATGTTTTTTTGTGCTTTTGTCAAATTTTTATCTGAATCTTGTTATTTTCTGTTCATAGTAGGTTTGCAAAACCTGCAGTCAATGGCTGTAGTCTTCTTTGTTATTATATATTTATGTGATCTATTATCCATTTCAAATTAGAAAATGATTAGTCCTACGTTAGTCCTTTGGCTAAACTGAATGCAACACTGAAAACTATTCCAGGTTTGGTATTTTCGGTAATCCAAAAGGAAAATCATGCAGATTACACTACGGCTGCAAACTCCGATCCATCTCCCGTCCCTGTGGAAGATATTGGCCTGCTACTACTTTTCCATTTCATGTGTGAGTGAACAGAAGCAACACAAGGCAGACTCACCCTCGACTTGGGAGGGGCGGGGGACACCTGAGGAGGAGTTAATCACAGCAAGGAAAGAGGTTTGACATTTCGAAGTTTCGAGGAGTGATAGAGGAGAAACGAGAGCAGCGAGGAGGGAAAGCAGCGGGGAGGAACGGGGATAGGAGCAAAGCTCCGACTCCCACGCTCGGCCGCGTGTCTGTATTACTTTACTTACGATGGTGCGGAAGAAATGGACCACAGCGTTCTCTGCCCCGCGCTTACGCGGGGAAGTCGCGGAGCCTTTCTGGGGGCCTGGAGAGAGGGCGCCTCGGAAGGATCCCTGGGAAGGAGAGGAGGACACCGTTGAGCAACGTGTTGAGTGAACGTGTGCTTTTGCACCAAACGACTTGACCTTAAGCTCTCCAGAGTTAAATGCATCCTCACTGGGATTTTCTCAAAAGCTTCAATAATGCACGAATGGTTAATAATGAAATATTAGGACTAAAAAGTCAAAACACTGGGGTTGCATAGATGAATACTTAGAACAAAAATCTGCAGCTTGTCTTGTTTAACTTGACAGTAAAGGTTGTGGCTGATAGGAGAAAGTGGACCTTACCTGATATATTGATAATGATAATTCCACATTGGATGCTAGTATTGTTGACAAATGTGCTGATTCATCATATAATTTTTACTAAGCATCAAAACGTAACTTTGGTTCACAAAAAATGGTTTTGTAGGGGCCAGGTTGAAAAGAACAGATTTATTACTCTACCCTTAAAACCTCACAGTACGTACGACCTTGAATATAAATATATTTTTGGAAGCTACTGACTCATCACTGTTGAAAACCCACCTCATTAATCCTTTCTTAACCTGGCAAAATACATTAAGACGTTAAAAACTAATTGAAATAAATCAAAAGAGCAGTTAAAGAGATTCCAGTATTTCTCTTATTAAAATCCCAAGGGAAGAATCAACAGAGAGTCCACCTGGATGAGTCTTTAATAAGGCGCATTACAAGAATCGTCAATTACGCCACGGAAACAAGCACAATGGAGGTAAAACGTATAACTCCTCTAACACCAAACACCATCAACAGATGAGTTTGCACGGGAGAACAAACTCATTTCCGCCCCCTCAGGGTGTTCAGACGTCCCAGTGAACGTTACCTCATTCATCCCTTTCTCTGACCCCATTAATGTAACAGGGAAACGCGTGTGTGATTCTGTGTTTGTGAGTGAGCTGTTGATGATTCACATCCATTATCTCACATCAAATAGCTGTTAGGTAACCCGAAAGAGGGAGAACTTCCATCAGCACCAGCAGCACGACCTCCCTCCCCCCCCACACGGGGGTTCTGGTTTTCAGCCTCCAGTGGATCAAGCAGTGATTAAATCCAAATGACTATTTGTGATTATTCAAAAGGATGAAATCTAGACATTCTGTAGGCTCCATGGTGTGTAATTTTCAGCCGGGCAGCTTCCCTTTGCTTCCAGCAGCGAGGCATTAATGATGTCCTCTCGAATAGCCGCGTGTCCGTCGGGACGGAAATGATTGCAAAGGCGCACGGAAATCAAAGGGAGGGGAGAAAATACAGCAGCTTTTGTGGCTGCAATCGCACTTTTGTTTGGGGAACAGGAGACAAGAAAAGGAAAAGATGGAAGGAAATAGGAGACATGCTGTTTGCATTCTGCGGATGTTTCTGTCGCTGGTCCCTTTGATGCGAATGAGGTCTCTTCTGCGTTTGATCTCTTCTCTTCTCATGTCTTCTTCAGACTGGGAACACTTTTATCAGTCTTTATTTTTCCATTCGGAATGGAAAAATGTTAAAAACAACATGTTTCCATTTAGCTTCTGGGATGCTGTCGATGATGATTAGCAGGGACAGTTTTCTGTTCCTGGATTAAAAGTTTTCCTCTTGTCTCACGCGTGTGAGAATGAAAAGGTGGAGAGTTTGGAAGTTTGAGTTACAATCGCAGTCACTGCTCATGCTACATATATTTTATTTAATCTTTGGAACCAGAAATATAAATAGGAGAATATAGCCAGTTCCTTGATTTCCTAATTATCTCCTCGTTAGATGAATACAGTTGATTGTTTGTCACGATGCTCACCGGACAGAAGGACATGACAGTGTCTTTATAGGAGCAGTTTGACCTGAATATCACTCACATTATTTTCCTTTTAATATGAAGCTTTGGACTCCAGGAGAACCATCCAACGCTAGAACAAAACAAGCGGTGCTTTTGGGAAAGATATTAATGGCGACAGGGCAATATGCTCATAACCGTGATGCTGTTTAGCGGGTAATGTGTTCGTCCATCCGCGCCGCAGTGAAATGAGAGGATTCTACGGGGATTCTGGTGCTGGGAAACAATACTGCTTCATGCAAATGTAAGATAACGATCGCCTCGCTGCAGTTTCATAATCATCCGAGCAGCCGCCGCAGTGCTTTCAATATTCTCATCCGTCTCATGGTGAAAAAGTCAAAAAACCTTCCCAAAAACTTTTACTTACTTAGGCTGGGCAGCACTCAGACACATGTAGCATGTTCACGTGTGCACTTGTACGTGTAAACTGGGGTGAAATGAGTCATGTGAGAAATTAGGAATTCCAGACCGATTTAGATACAAAGTATTTGCGGCCTGTTAATGATCACAACGGCCTCCGTGTCATTAGTGATGGAGCTAAAGCACCATCCATCAGGAGCAGAGTGAGTGGGGGGGGGGGCATTCTTCATCGTTAGTGAGTATCAGCAATTAATGAAAACAAATATTTCCAACCTGCTCGTCTCCCTTCACACATGTCATCAAGTATTCAGTGAGACAGTGAGACATTCACCTCCCCCTGAAAGGCTGTGGATCCTCGCTCAACTAGACATAACAGTGATAATCAGGTTGAATTCTTGGGATTCGGGGGGAGAATCGATCGGGGGGGATACAGCACTTTGGCTTATGTCTCTCAATACCAGTTAGAAAGGAGGGTAAGTAAGCCAATATCTGTGCTGTCTGATTTAACGGATGAGAGAAATACCCACAAATGTTCTTCGGGACTACGAAAAGGGCAAAGTGGAGTTTAGAAAAAGGGAAAGGAATAATTTGTTGTTTTGGAGCCGTAGGGAAGGCAGTCTGGGGATCGGACTATTTCTGGCTTTTATCATCTACGGTTTGCGAAATTCTTGTTGCGTTTACCGATATGAGCCAAAATGACTCATAGCAATCGAATTCATTATATTCTTACATATATTTTCTGGAGACTTTCCGTAGTCAAGGGGAAAGATAAAAATACTTCTAATGATACAAGAAGGTTTCACGTAATGTTCAACGCTCTCAGGGTTCCTACTCAGACACGGACGTATTGTTCATGTGCGAAGGAAAAAGCACAGTTAATTCAGCAGTAATGGGAAGCTGAACATTCGGGCGATAAGCAATCTGCCCTTTTTGTAGTCGAGCTGACTGGAAGATGTTCTATTCACTCTTCCTGTCATTTAAGTCCAACACGTCATCCGTCTCCTATGATGTCTTTTTGTCGCCGCACGTCCTTGTGAAAACTGACCTCCTACGTGTATTCATTTGTCTGGAAGTCAATAATCATAGAGGCTCAGACTCTGCAATCGAAAAACGAGATGGTTGAAAATGTTTCTACATTTAAATGTTTTCCCTGGTCTCAGAGGGCGAATCTAACAACAGTAATCAAGCGACAATCCAAGAAGGCGAACTCGCTCATGCAGCTCGCAATCCTCGTCACACGCAGCAAAGACAAATAAAACCACCGTGTTTCTTATGAATGAATAAAACCTTAAAGTTACCGTAAGGTTTGACACACACACACACACACACACTGCATTTGACTAAATGTTTTATTTATGAAGTTATTTATTTAACCATACAAATAAAAGACAAATTCAGTTTCACTTAAAATATGTATAAGCTTTATCATGTAAGAAAAAGATGAACCAAAAGAGAAGCACGGACATTTAAAACAAACATGGAGAGTGTTGAGGGTGTTAAAGAGTTTAATCAAGCAAGACATGCACAAAGGGTTTAGAAGAACAGGGTGCGGTTAGGAACAGGTCACCGGTCACGACACGTACGCACGGTTACAAGTATTGTCACACAACCGGAATCAGCACCGGTCGGTCCGCTGCCGGGTCAAACTAACTCTCCCACCGGCTCAAACACACGTGAACCTGAGGTGAGCGGACCTTTGGGAGACGGGGGGGGAGGCGCCGACGCCCCCCACCGTCTCCATCCAAGACACTAGAGAACAACGCCAGCCGGGGTTTTGGTTGGACTGTGAGCTGTTCTACTGGAACCTGATTCATTTACAGTTATTACTCCTGCGTTCGTCTGTGTGGCTGGATTCTGTCGGCCATTCAAAGCGCTCATATTCAAACATTAACAGCTAACGCTAACGCTCATGCAAAGTCAATTTTACCTCCAATTAGCACGTCGTCATCCCTGTGATTTGAAACGATCAAACATCTGTTATCCATCCAATGCTGATTTCCTGCAGTTGTTTCACGTCCTGAGAGGTTTTTAGCATCATCTCACAACTCTAACGCCACTTTCTAAAAACCCAGTTTGCAAAGGTCTCCAAACCTGCCACATGTGAAGACAGTTAATCAAGCATGACTCAAACGAGGATGATTTTGACAATCCAACAATAACTCCCATAAATACTGCAGCCTTGATCTTTTGCAAGAGGCAACAACGGAGGTGGGCCGAACCTGTCTTGTCGTTCACTGGAGATGTGAACACTCATTATTATTTGAAGGCAAACCCTTGGTGAATACATAAATATTTATTTGTACAACTTTGTTTCAGTAAACGTGTCATCAATATGGAAAGCAACGTACAATTGTATGGCTCAAAGAATAAGAAAATCTGCAGCAAATTGATCACTAGCTTAACGTTGAATGAAAGCTTCAGAATTTGTTATGTTGACATTTTCCCTGAACATTTCTTGAGTGACATTTTACAAAAGCAAATCAATATCAGCAGAACGAGCTAATGCAAAGCTCTGTAGCATACAGTATATACAAAATAATTGTTCAAAATCCTGAATCCTACAAGGAACACCTATTTATAGCTGAGATAAGGCGTGGGGGCAAAGCATGCCGCTCACTGCTTTCTTTGCAATTACCTGCTGATTAGCGCTCTGCAGAGTAAGAAAAGCTAGATAAAAAAAGCTTAAAATCATAGAGTATATTTATGTCCACAGGATTTAGTTTGCTGGGCTGTTTGCAAACCGTTATCAGTAATGTCCTTTGAGACAGCGGTCGAAATGAGCCGGCTCGTGATGGGACATCCAAGAGGCTTTGGGATTTAGCTTCGGCGCATTTCGGTAGCGTTGTCGAGATAGCCGACATGTGAACGCACGTTTCTCTAATTCAAAATTTTAAAAGCGGAAAATCCACTTCCTCACCCCCTCCAGAGGGCACCACTGAGAGCGCCACTGAAAAGAGCAGCGCTCTGGTCCTTAATGGCTTCGGCAACAAGCAGATCATCATGTCTGGAAGTAACTGATGGACAAACTGGTGCCAGCAGATACAAATGGAGCTTTACCTTCCTAAACACAAAAAAAGCAACTAATGTTTTTGTATTGACCAATGGTTGAAATGATGGTATCTTGCAAACACTAAAGTACAATGTAATTAAAAAGCCATGCAGGACCCGATGCCTCATAATAATAATCACTTGCCTGGACGAAAAAAAGAGGCTGTTCTTCCTTTATAGAATGCAGACCGCATATAATATACCCATAAGCCTAACGCAGGTTAATCCACCTATCTTTGATCTTTGATAGCATAATTTGTTCATCAATAACTTTGAAAGTGACTTAGCTTAAGGATGTACCATACAAACAATAGTCCAGTACCTCTCTGTTGCTTATCGCGGATGTTGAAACTTACGCCAGAGACATCGAAGACACTAACTCCTTACAAAGAAGCTCTGCAGAGCACTCGATGACTCTGCAACATCCCAACGTGATTTACCCTTATCACATCTAAATGATACAGACATGGATTTCGCATACCTCCTCCATCATCGTTATAATCACAATCATTAAGTTCTTCTGAGACACGGCGGTTCTTAACTCTGGTTTGACGATCCGATAAACAAACTGCACGACGGTAGAAAACATTTCCGCCAAGTCACTTCTACAACAGATATATTATATTTATACTCATTCAGGACAGAGCTACTAATGTCAGTACCATTAACAAACAAAAGGAAAACAGAACAGTATAGAAATGTGTCTATAGATGATTCCAAATCACAGCTATTGAAAATGAAAAATAAAAAAACACCCACCCAAAGTCATGATCCACCTGTTAGCCAGTTAATGTGAATCATAGAACAAAGTCCGACTTTGGTTCACCCAAAAAACAACAGTAAAACAAAATCAAATAGATGTGACCAACATCCTTCAACACATTTTAAAACGATCTGTTAAAGAGGCTGAAGTGAAAAGTGGTTCTTGGGGTGAATTGGCAGAATGAACGCATACATAAGACGGGTCGAGCTTTCACGCCTCCCCGCCTCCTCACCTTGCTCTTCCTCTTCTTGTCCCCGCCGAAGAAGTTTCCAATCTGATCCAGGAGGCCGGGGGTCTTCTTCCTGCGGCCGAGCCCGAAGGCGGCCTGTGCGGAGCTGCTTGCAGATGCCATGCTTGTAGTAGTCGGTGGCACGATCGTAATTGGCAAAATTTGAACGCGGGGCTCTTGCCTCTCTTAAATGACAGATCGAAAAAAGACGGAGGAGGCAAAAGAGAAAAAGGCAGGGGGGGTTTAGCCTATTCTAGATCCTGTTCGGGGGACTCGGAGCCGCACTCTGAACCCGCTCCGCTGTGTTCCTGGATGGTCTGCAGCTCGTCCGATTCGGAGGGTCGCTCTTTGAAGGTGTTGTCCTCTCGCCCCGGGGCATCTCGGGAGAAGAGGCGGGCCAGGTGGGGGCGTGGCGTGGCTTCGTCAGGGTCAGCTGTGCTGGCGTCGGGCCAGGGCTGGCGGGGGCCCTCAGCGCCCGTGGAGTCAGTCACCGCCGGCTTCGCCGCGTCGCAGCCATTGTTCTGGTTCGCATCTGCCTCAGCCAGGCCTGCGCAGAAACAACAAGGGTCATCTATGGGCCTGCGTGGCCACACAACACCCAACAATGGGCTCTTTTGATTGGCCCGTGTCCGTCCAGGGGCAGCGGGGCTAACGTGTCACATCAAGAGGAAAGGGCAGAAATGTGAGATTAGAGACGTGAGCGACTGGCTAAAGCAGTTCTGCCAGATCATTTCCCTTCAAAATGAAGACACTGAAATAAAAACAAATCCCCCCCCCTGATTCTGCAACATCGCCACCTTCATCCCAGTGTGGCGCGTCTTATCGCCCCTCCGTGCGTTATCATGTTCGCCGCATCAGTTTCCAGCGAGATGGAAATGCAGATGCTTCTCTAAACGTCCACTTTGACAGCTATCCATTAAGTTAGCGAGCTCCCACCGCGGAGGACGTCTAGTGCATTCCTGTCTCCGAAAACAATATGCACACTGTGCTGGAAGAAATGGTGTAGCACTACACCGGGGAATCTGCATGCTAATATTGGCTGAAACAGTGGCCTGTTGTCAGAGCTGCATAGTTATTACAGGGAAAGAATGGGCCCAGTGTCCCTAAAATAACTCCTATAAGTATGGATTTTCCACAAGATGCAAGTCGACACTTATCTGATTTGGAGCCCGAGAGGCTGTAGTCTCTGGGAGCACACAGGCCATGTACAAGGTTATACGATGATTTATTACAATTTTCAATGGTTACGCTTTAAAATGTATAACCTTTCAATCTCGGGTCCACCGGGTCCTTCGGCTTGATTCCCTTCTGAGTGACGTAGCAAGTGGGAATAGGGAATGAGATCGACTTTTGTTCTTTGAGGTACGGAGTCCAGAGCAAGCACTACTTTTCTTGCACACATTACTGCTTCAAATAAAAGGTGACCCCCGGCGTCACCTAAATAATGTTTATAGAACGGGTTCAACTTGGAGGTTCCACTGTCATCGCAGGCGTTTATCCAAAAGCGAGTGATGCTGTGTAATCACGTGACACCAAATGGATACCCGCAGCGTTTTTTCATAAGGCTTTCAGAAGAGAAAAGTTTTAAATGCAAATGTCTGGATTCAAAAGTATTTCTGTATTATCAGTTGTTTCACTACAGAAAAAGTGCTTATTTTCCTTTCTGGGAAAAGGTGCGGTATGTGAGGACAACAAAAATCCTCCAGAACAATCATTTCTTTTAACACTACGCGTGAATAAAAATGATCTGTCATGATGAGCTGAAAAGCAATAGCAATAAGCAATAAGACCTTCTCTCTCGAAAAACAATAACTGCAAAATTAAATGAAAGGATAAAATAAGCAAAAACAAGACATAAAGACAGCTTTAATTTGTAGATGGGAAATTATATTAAAGCCACTCGTGCGGATGATGATCCATGTTCATCTTTCTGCAATGAAATGTTTACATTCCTCCTCTGAGTTTTGAAAACTCCTAAAGGTGAAATGTAAGTTACAGTTAGTGGCTCTGCTGCAAGTTTTCAAGTCTCTCCAGGGGTTCGTTAGCGCACAAAAGGAGCTGCCGGTCATATGAGCAAAAGGTGGCTGGTGGTCTTCTTGGCGGCCCGCTGCGAGGACACTGCACATGCTGCATGGGTTTTATGGTTCCCTGACATTTGGGGAGGGATTGCCGCTGCTCATTTGTGTCCAGTTGTGATTGTGCATGTGTGCTCATCCGCAGCAGCACAGCCTCCTAAAATCACGATGATGCATCATAACTGACGTAAATTATATAGCACATTATCCTTCATCACCACCATGGATGTGTTGTATTTCACTGTTTCCTCTGTGGCTGTTTTTTTTTTTTTTAACCGCAGAAGAGTAGAATAAATAAAAGAGCTGCTATTTTTTTTTTGCCTGCCCATGAGTCCTCTTTTTCAGCATCAATGTAGCGCTGATCATTCTCCTGAGCCCAGCGGTGCTACGATCAGCCACTGGAATACCAATACAATAGAAATATCAGAGAGAAAACAGGCTAACGCGGTTAGACTTCAACGGCCCTCCAGGGACCATCCTGCTGCAGCATAATACTGACTGCCTGTTCATGCTCGGCCGTAAAAAAGTGGATGTGCCCGTGAGACACTAATAGTGTGACTCGCTGCACGCTCTTATCAAAAGGTGCACTGAGTCAGGGTTTTAAGCACAAACTGACCAAAATATTTGTGGAATTTGTTGATGTGCGCTGATGAACCAGTGATTACCGAGCCAGGTGCTTACATTTCTGCATAATCCAACCCATGCTGTTCTTGTTGAAACACCAAAAATCCTCCCACACATGTTTTTACAGCCTCTAGTGAAGGATGGGGGATGGAACGGGTGACTCAAACCAAATTGCTTTTAACCTCCCAACATAAATTATGTAGGTGTCGTTTCTTCTGGCCGTCATTTAGTTCTTAGAAATGGTATTAGAGCTGTGCTTGGATTAGATTCCTGTTTCATCTGGGGAATTAAGATAAGACACGCGGATCGGATAGCGGCCGATGTTGTGGATGTTCTCTGGTTCCCTTTAAGTGCTGCTCCTGATGCCGATTGGCTATTTTCAGCGACCGCAAACCAGACCAATTAGAAAATAAAATTAGGTACGTGAGCCAAATGTGATGAAAAAGCAGTTCACAGTCCCTTTAAATGCGTATTCATCGTATGTAAAAAATCTCATGGTTTTCTGGTGGCAAACGCCCAGTCGGCCTTGTAAGACACCCACTGAAGATGGCTGCTCCTCTTATATCATATTGAGTTAGGGGCTTATTTTCGGATGAACCTGACAGAACTCAGGTCGGTTGTTTGAGGCCAATTTATTTCAGTGTCGGGGTCCTTGACAGCTGTGCGGCAGCCTGCGCTCCTCAGTCGGACGATTTCTTTAATTGGGTGAAACCGTAATGTCTAATTTACATTCGATGGCTCCTTTTCCCCCCGGAATAAATCCTCCCTTCGGTCTGATGACAAGTGCGGCCAGTCACCCGATCAATCAGCACCCAGCAAAGCTTAATAACACCCCGAGCACCCCGAACGTAAAATAAATGTATTGGTCATCTACGCACTCTCAAATTTGCTCTGGGGACTTTACGTTTGGTTGCGTTTGCTTTGGAAAGATTTGAGAAAATTCTAAAGATAAGAGGCTTCTCACACTTGTATTTCTCTAAGGAGAAGTGAAGGAGACGGTGGGAATTAAAGGCTAATTACAATGCAGCATGTTTCTTTTTCCTCCTCCTTCACCAAAGGCAAAACAAGGACAGCTTGTAACAGTCGGTCTGACTCGCACGCTGCACAGGGAGGTCTGCAGCGTTCCTTCATAAATACTCATGGATCTACTGATGTATTGATGGGGTTAACATCCCCACAGAAAGTCCATGGTCTCCTTGGACTTTCTGTTGGAAAAATCAGTGGTAAAGCAGAGCGGCCGTCAAGGCCACCGGAGGAGAAAACTTGGTTCAGATTCTGTCAAAATCAACTGATTCAAAATATGTTTTCAACGCTTCTCATACGGATTTGAACAGTGACCGGATAATAGCCCGTTAGCTCAACTTGATTAATTCACCATGGCAACTCCGAGATGTCTCTATGACAACTAAAGTGCCAGAAGCACCTCACGATTCTTGTGAAATTATCCGGGCCCTAATAAAGTAATTCAGCGCCTAAGACTATTATTCACAAAACAATTACCATCAACCCGTCTACCTCCTGCACAAACCCAGTGAAATAGTTCGGTGAGGGAATCCAAAGCTGATAAGATCGGTTGCGTTCCGCAGAGATATTGAGGGGAAGGATTGGCATGTAGGGAAGCGGTATGCCGAGAGTGGGCTTCAATCTCCTCATTTTTCCTCCTCTTCCACACTGTGCAGATGATGTGCTAGCTGGCCTCTGGGAGGCGAGAACAACAAGGGGCTGTGCTGGTGTCGGAGGCACGGGAAGTATTTGTCTGAAAAAAACATCCATTGCTATGTGGATCCCGGCCAAAACTCCCACCAGAGGCGAAACTCCCTCTGCATTCATGTGGATCTGAAGCACCCACAATTGTTGAGAAAAAAGCCCCTCTGTGTCTCTTTAATCCCATTTGGCATTCAGGACGTTAGTCCCTGCAGATGTTTTTCTGGACGAGATAAGAGCCGTGGCGACCCGCTCCCTCCTTCTAACCCGGGCCGGGTTCATGACCTTTGAACTTTACTCACGTAAACGGGGAAGGACGAGATTCAAGGGGAAAAGAAGCGCACCACTGCACCACAGTTATGTTGTGATGATAAAGACAAGGTCTCGTAGAAAAACAACATATGCTTCATTTTTTGCAAAGTCTAAATCGAACCAAATAAACCCTTGATTTTTTCTACACCGCAGGTAAATTTACAAGTCAAATTTGACGTGACGTGTTGCACACAGCGGTGTCATAGCTTCTGTTTTCAACCAGGCAGCTTGCAATGCAACCAAATACAATGAGAGCAGGGGATATGCTATGAATAACACGTTTTCTTACTTGATTCTAAAAACGATTGTTGATGAAATGTTCTTCGCGTTTCTATTATAATATCTAAAAGTTTCTGAAACTTAATTTCAGTAGAGCCTGGTGAGTTATTAAAGTGCTATATACGTATGTCTCACGGTTATTTGCCATCGACAATCAGTCAAATTGCAGTTCTCTCAAACAGGCCATCATTTATCCTGTTAGACATTTATGTGAAGACGTCATAATTAGTTCATGAATTTTCCAATTAGGAGCACCACGTTCTAATCCCTTAATCCTTGCTTCCAAGTGGATATTTGGGCGAGTTTTGTAGAAATCCGCTGCAGCCGCTCCTGAGACACCGTGTTCACGGGGACGGGATGACACAGCATGATGCCTCCGGACACGGCTGTGTCGAGTCTGAACAGCTTCAGTATTTTCACCCACTAGGAGACACAGAATCCCATGTCAATAAAGCACTTCTGAGGGGCGACTTCTTGTGCTGGCAGAGTGGATTTTGGTACTGATGGCCTGTTCACATTGGCACACTGAAATGGATCTTGGGCAGAACCTGAC